TGAAAAGGAGAGTTTGAAAACTGGAAAAATGACATTCAGCTTGGTTACACCTGTGAGTACTCCAGCAACAATAGGGAAAGTGTATTTTCATAAAAACAGAAACATTTAAAATTTCTCTCTTGGCTCAAGGACAGCATAATATTGACAACTGTGTACAGTAGCAGAAACATGAATAGGCATTATGCTTTTCTCCTCTAGAAAGTTTGTACTTGAGTATAGTGGTACATGCCTATAATCTCAGCATTCAGGAGGGTGAGCAGAAGATCATGGGTTCACAGGCAGCTTGGACCACATAGGGGGACTCTGTCTCAAAAAAAACCCAAAAACAATAACAGGAGCTCTATAAAAGCCCCCCTCCCCCACTACTGGAGAGGACCTGGGTTCAATTCCCAGCACCCACATTGGTCAGCTTACAACCACCTATAACTCCAGGTTCAGGGTATCTGACATCCTCTTCTGGTCTCTGCAGGCACCAGGCACATACCTGGTATACATGCATACATTCAGGTACTCATACATATATAAAAGAAACAAAAGTTCTAGATGTTTAAAATGTTCGGAAACCAGTTTTAGATGCACCCCCCCCAAAAAAAATCACAGAAGTAAATGCAAAATTCTGAGTGTCAAGTGTCCTGAAAAGATAATGACAGGAAGCAAGGACCACCCCACAGCTGTGAGGCAGAGCTGCTGCCCAGAGCTGGCAAGAGGCTCTTGGCTCTGGATGGGCCTTTTCATTCCTTCTGCTTCAGTATGGGCATAACTTAAAGGGCGGATAATAAAATCTTGAAAAATGTTCACTGTGTTTCCAATAATGGTGCTTTCTGGGTCTAACCAGTGCCATTGGCCAGTTTTGCCCCAGGTAAAAATGCTCTGTGCTTGAGAGGTTAGACCCAAACTTACTCTTTCCTTCACCGTGGTCTCCATCTCAAGATAGGAAGACAACTTTTCCCCCTCAAACAAAATTAGAAAATGTCAGACAGTTGTTACTGAGGGTAAATGTGACTTACCATTTCTCATAGATGATCTATGCCTTCTTCTAAGCCACAGAACAAACAGAACCACAAGCCAGCCATCTGGGATATTTGTTGAAGAGCCAAGACTTTCCCATTCTATATTTCATTGTATTCTTTTTTAATATGTTTTATTTTTATTTTATGTGCATGAGTTTAGTACCAGCATATATGTAAGTGCACCTGTGTTGTGCAGTGCCTGTGGAGGTCAGAAGAGGGTGTCAGATCCCCTGGAACTGGAGTTACAGACAGTTGTTTGCCACCGGGTAGGTCCTGGGATTGAACCTGGGTCCTCTGTATGAGCAGTCAGTGTTCTTAACTATTGAGACATCTCTCCAGCCCCATTCATTGTATTCTTAAAATACTTCTAGTCATTGCATGGCTTAGATTCTGTGTGGTGCAAACTTCAACTCTTCTTAGTCTAAGCAAACAGGGACTCTGTTAAAAAGCCCAGAGCAGCTCACAGGACTTCAGTTCTGTCCAACAACCATGACTTCGTGGCACTCCCATTTCTGAAATTCCCTGGCCTGGCTATTGATTCCAAGTTTCTCATTCCTGGAACTTGAACCTGCATGGTGTTGAAGGGAGGATTATTTAATACTGACTTGGTCAGCCACTATTTATCATCCAGCCCTTCCCTCCACACCACCCAGTAGAATTCTTTTGGGTCTGGGCAGCCACTCCTAAGATGGTAGTATTGTTCTGTGCTGTATGAAGCTAACAAAGGTCAGGGAACCAGCCCTGGACCCTGTGACTTGGAAGGTTCACCTGACTCTGAGGCCTGAGTCTGGCAGAACAAGCCCTTTCTCCCAGCTTCAGTTGAGCAGTTTAGTCATGATTATGTTCAGCAGAAAGTGGAAAGAAGAGGGAGTGCACTACTTCCTACTTGTTGGGAATCCCATGGGGTATGATCTTGAGCTTTATTTGGGACCTTCAGAAGAACGTCACCTCAACCCCTCAACTCCTCCTCAAGTGCAACGGATACTGAAAGCAGCTGTCTCTTCCTAATTCTAGAAAGGATTTAAAAAAAAAGGTGGGTTATGTTCAGCAGAAAGTGGAAAGAAGAGGGAGTGCACTGCTTCCTACTTGTTGGGAAGCCCATGGGGTATGATCTTGAGCTTTATTTGGGACCTTCAGAAGAACGTCACCTCAACCCCTCAACTCCTCCTCAAGTGCAACGGATACTGAAAGCAGCTGTCTCTTCCTAATTCTAGAAAGGATTTAAAAAAAAAGGTGGGGGGGGGAGGCTGGAGAGTTGGCACAGTGGTTAAGAGCACTGGCTGCTCTTCCAAAGGACTTGGGTTCAGTTCCCAGCACCCATATGGCAGCTAACAACTGTCTCTAACTCCAGTTACAGGGAATCTGATGCCTTCTTCTGACCTCTGTGGCATTGTACAACACGGGTGCTCTTACATGCAGGCAATACACTCATACACATAAAAATATAAATGATAAATACAGAAAAAAGAAACAAGGGACGGACACCCTGAAAAAAGATGTCCCAGTGTCCTCCAGCATGGTCTGTGGTTCTCATGTGACTGTCTTCTCACTGTCCTGTGCCCGCAGAGCCCTCTTTTCTTCCCTTCCAGCTTTTGCGTAAGGAAAGCAGAATTTTAGCTGAGGTGAGGTGAGCCTGAGAGACAAGGAATTGCTCAGCTATCTGGCAAATATCAAGCTAGGTTGAGTAGCTGGAGAGAAGATCAAATTCACAGCAATCAGCTGGGCAAGGGCTCGACTGGAGCTTGCAAAATGGGGACACTGATTCTGAGCAGGATTGGAAAAGACAAGGGTGAGAGATGCTTCAAGTATATGGAGGGTACAGACACACTGCCCTGGGGCAAGAGGGAGGGGAAGCAGCTGGCGCCATCTGAGAGTGAGGCACACAGCTTTAACATGAGAGGTGGAGAGACAGCTGAATGAATTTGTCCTCCATGTGATGGTAGGTGGTTTGGGCAGTACCTAGTAGTGTGCCAGCTCAGAGAGAACCTGTTTTCTACTTGCTAAGCCAGCAGCTTTGGGGCTACAAAGGGATGCTGTGTGTAGGCAATGGGCTCATGACCTATTCTTAGGCTGCATTTTAGATCTGGTCCCTGATGAGCTCCTTATCCTAGAATTACTGACATCCTCAGACCTGAAAGAGTTGCCTTTCCTGGCAGCAAGATAGATTTTTCCCCCCATTTTTTATGGTTCTGGGAATATGTAGCTCCAGGGTCTTACACATACATGCTAGGTAAGCCCTACCACCGTGCTGCATCTCCAGCCATCAAGGTAGATGGGTAGATTTTTAAAAAATTTGTTTTTAGCTGGGCATGGTGGCGCATGTTTTTAATCCCAGCAGAGGCAGGAGGCTCTCTGTGAGTTCCATGCCAGGCCAAACTACAGGAAACCCTGTCTCAAAAAGACCAAAAAGGAAAAAAAAAAGTGTTTTTAAAATGTGTGTGTATGATGGGGGTGTGTGCATGCCATGGCACATGTGTGGAGGTTAGAGGTCGATTTTGTGAAGTCAGTTCTCTCCTATCTTTATACTGGTTTGTAGATTGAACTCGGACCGCCAAGCTTGCATGGTGAGCACCTTCACCTACTGTCCTCCAACTAGCTTCATATTTGTTTGTTGTTGTATGGATGTTTCATACGGGTTTGTAGATTGAACTCGGACCGCCAAGCTTGCATGGTGAGCACCTTTACCTACTGTCCTCCAACTAGCTTCATATTTGTTTGTTGTTGTATGGATGTTCCTGTCTCCATCTCCCAGTGCTGGAATTGCAGGTATGCACTACTGTGCTCAAGATAGTGATTTTTTTTTTCTGAGACAGTGTCTTACTGTGCAGCACTGGTTGGCCTAAAACTCTCTATGTAGAGCTGGCTAGCCTTGAACTCACAGAGGTTCGCCAGCTTTTGCCTCCAGAATGCTAGAATTAAAGGCATGTGCTACCATGAATGGCAGGAGACAGGGTCTTATTTAGACCTGGCTGGCCTGATCAGACTGGGCTCAAATTCACAGAGATGTGCCCTTCCTTGGCCTTCTGAGTGCTGGAATTTAATGCATGCACCACCATGCCCAGCTAACGTTTTCTTTTATTTGGGGGATGAGTGGATCACAGTGTATGTGGGGAGGTCAGAGGACAACTTCCAGGAGTTAGTTCTTGCCTCCTCACTTTTGAGGCAGGGATTCTCTTGTTTTGGGCCACTAACTGCACACTCCAGGCTAGCTGACCTACTTCCAGCCTCTTTTCCCTGCCTCCATCTCACCCCCAGCTTGTAGTAGGAATGCTGGCATCACAGGTCTGTGCCGCCACACCTGACTGTTTTATGTGGACTCCAAGGATTAAGAACTTAGGTCGTCAGGCTTGCACAGCAAGTACTTTTCCCTACTGAGCCAATTTTTTTTTAAGTACAGAAATAGGCTATATATCAGTGGTATATCATGTGCCTGGCATGCTGAAGGCCCTGGGTTTCCTTTGATCCCCAGCACATACACAAACATACAAATACTTGAGGATCTTTAAAGAAATCAAGTAAGAATACCACTTTTCCCTAGCCAGTGACATTCTGGACGGGAAGGAACATTCTTTTACCAATGGCAGGAAGTGGACTTGTGTAGGAGCATGGTTCATGCTGGGCACATGGGTAAACAGCCCACGACCCAGTACAGAGAGGAAAGAACCACCAGAAAGAGGAGGCCAAGGCAGGATTGGGGCCAGAGTGTTCAGGAAGAATGACCATGATCTGCCACCCAACTCTGCCATCCTACACAAGGGGCAGAGAGCTAAGTTTTACTCCTACATGAGGATGACAGCCATGGCACTTCATCTGCTTTGTAAACATGGTATCAGGGAGCTGAGAGCATCCATGAAAATCTTGATCCTTGTACCCTGGAGGCATTCAGACAGGCAGTTGAAGTCTGACCTGAGTGGTATCTGTACGATTCTGATGCCATAGTCATCATTGGGACCTGGCACTCATATCTTCCCTCCCTCCCTCTCTGAGCAGATGCAAGAGCTGGAGCAGAGGCTGATGGAAGCAGAGCAGAGAGCAGAGAATGCGGAGACTCAGGTAAGTGGGTACAGGGGTTTGTGAAAGAGTTCTTGGGGAAATGACCTTCTCTTCCCATGGTCACACGGGCACACTCAGCACACTGATGAGCTTACAGGGACAAGAAGAACCAGCAGTCATGGATGGCACCTAAACAAGTTAAGGTCCAAGAAGCTCTGTGTAGGAAGGAAGGAGACATGGGTAGGATCAGTGAGTGGGTGTGTTTGTCCAAATAAGCTATGCTGTGCTGCAGGAACAAAATGAGTCTGCAGTCTGTGTTTATCATGTTCTGTCCTCATGCATGGTACAGTACACATCCATTGAGGATTAGCCAAGAAGTCTTCTTCTGTCATTCAAGGGTCCAAGCTGAAAAGAGGCTTCCTTGTCTTTTAGCTGGATCTTACATAGGCATGTCCAACCTGCGGAGGCTCCATGCATCCCCAGGTAGCAGTGAATGTGGCCTAACACATTCATAGGTGACACTGTCATGTTGTAACATCAACATTTGGATACTCCTGCCAGGAACACTTAGCCTTCTTGGTTGCTGAAGGAGAGAATTCACTGGGCACCTGTGTATCAGTTTTTAAATACTTCAGCTCAACATAGCAAGTTCAAGGCCAGCCTGGGCTACATAGCAAGACCCAGTCTCAAAAAAAAAAAAAACCAAACCAAAACAAAAAAACCCATAAATGCTTCATCCCAGAAATGATATGCCATTTCCACTCAGAGTCCGTTGGTTAGATGACTCTACAAGGGTTAAGGAAGTATAGGGAAACACATGGATGTCCTGTGAGCAGCAAATATCTTTGCCCCAATGGAATTAGACCAGATGTCCTGGACCCGATGGCCCAACTCATCCCTAGCCCACCTCCCAAGACAGATGGCCCAAGATGTAGCCGGTCTTTTCAGAGTAGCTGACATGAGTCTCTCTATTGTCAGTTTTCTTTTGCCCAGATAAAAGCCTCATAAATGAAGTGATAAATGATCCTTCATTTATTGACCTAGACTTATGATAATAAAGGTCTGCCTAGGAGGCATAGTCTGAAGTATCAGGGAGTTATCCCATCCCACGTTTTTGGTCATTGCATATACTACGTGAGTGATCTGAGATCTTAGGAGGTCTTGTTGGTACTTTTCAGGTGGGTATGATGGAAGAGAAAGTCAGACTATCCAATCTGAAGAACGTGGACTCCACGGGTAGCCTACACCCAAAGTACCAAGAATTGCTGAAAGCTATGCAAGAAAAAGATGAACTCATCAGCCAGCTGGAGGCAGAGCTGGAGAAGCAGGTAGGGGCTAGTGTGAAATAACACGTCTCCTCATGGCATCTGTAACCAGTCAGTCCCAACTTCTCCAACCCCTTTGCTTGAACCCTGGAGTGGTGGGGAACACACTTTCTCGTGAGCCTGTTCTTTTATATGGAGGGCTTTCTCCTTCACATCTGTTCTTTCGGAGCCAGGGGAGAATTGAAGAAACCGACCCCAGAGGCACACTGATCTGGATGTGAATTCCACCTCTACTGCCTGCTGCTCTCTGGGGAAATTACCTAACTCATTGATTTTCATTTTACATACTTATCCAGTAGAAATTATGAAACCTCAGAGGTTTGGGGGGATAGTTGCCCCCAGGTGATCTGTATAGAGTATCAGATACGTGGTTGGGGCTTGGTAAGGAGAGCTTTTCCTTCTCTGTGTCGGCCTTGTGCCCTGCCAATGTGTATTACTTGATGCTTGGCTGTAGTGTGACAAAAACAACACAGGACTAGATGATCAACCTTGGCCAACTGGTTGACCACAGCTTCTCAGTGGACCTCTGAACAGACAAAGTGTTGCCACCTGAAAATGGAGGTTTCCCCTCCCAAGTGTATTGGAGCCTCCTAGATACCACTGCCCAGCACTGCTGCAACTTAGCACCCTTGCTCCCAAGAACTTCCAGAACCCCTCTGCCCCTACCCCTCCTAGTTACTATGCCCAGGCTCCTCCTCGCCACGCTCTTTACCACCATCATGCAGCCCAGGCTGGCCTTGAACTCCTGATTTTCCCATCTCTTAACTCCCAAGTACTGGGATTATGAGCACATGCCATGCCTGGTTCCTCCATCCCAAATCTGTTCTCTTTGTCATTTGCCTCATCTGCCTACTTTTTCCTGGTACCAGCTCAACATCCATTCCCAACCGTAGGCCCATGGTAGAGTTAGGAGACTTTGACTTATCTACCTGGGCATTCTGTGTGAAGGTCCCAGCCAATCCTAGCAGTCCTTTCCAGTCATCATGTGCAAATTTGTAACTGTCAGTATTCACTGAACATTCCTGTATTGGATTTGCCTTTTATGCAGTTGGGTACTTTGTGCCCCAGAAGATAGGATTTTATCCATTCATTTTAGAATCGTCTCTTTTGAGTGACCAGAGTTTGAAGTGGCAGCATTCAGCCCTGCTGTTGCTATATAAAAGCAGCATTGATGATCCATAAATGAGTGGGCACAACTGTTCCAATAAAGCTTTATTAATAAAGCTGTATTTATCTATAAATTTATAAATAAAGCTTTATTTATGAGAATATGTAGGAGACAAACAGGTGGAAGACTGGATTTGACCACGGGGCTATTAGTTACCAAACGGTGAACTACATGACCTTTAAGGTTCATCTGGCTCGAAAATACTGAGCCTAAGATCCTCATATTGGCACCCCATTTCCACAGACTACCTGGTCTGGAAACCATGTCTAACATCTTAATATTGTCAGGCACTTTTCCCTGGACTCTAAATTACTCAGCAGATATCACTTGCTCCATTCAGGGAACTAGTTCTCCTTGTAAGCTGGCTGATATCAGTACCTGAGGCCCAAGTTCTGTACTCTTAGTTCACCCAGAATGACCCAACAAGAGGGGGATATCTAATCTCTTATTTTAGAGGTGCAAATTCAGTCCAGAGAGGTTAGGTTTACTGCCTAATATTTCTCAGTAATAAGCTTCATGTAGAATCAAAACTCATCCTTCATTGTATCTTGGGTTTCTTTTTAAGCAGAGTGCTGAAATGAGAATCAAACCCATGGTTATATATATAATATATACGTATGCTAGGCAGGTGTTCTACCACTGAGCTATACCCTCAGTTCTTGCTGTTTTATATGCAAACCTTTTCCATTCTTGATTGTTTTGTGAGAAATACCTCTTCTGTGCTCATTTGGCCTTGTTTTTTCACTGTAAGGTTAATATATGCTTACAGTAAAAAATACCAAACAACTAAAGATGACAAGTGGCATTCTTCCTGAACCCAGCACATCATTTCCACCCCTCACTGGTCTCTTCTGTATCAAAAATTAGCATTTTATTTTGATTTGTGGTTATGTGATGTTTACTTACCCAACCCCTATTGGTGGACATTTAAAGACGAGTTCTGTTTTTTTCTATTTTGTGTTACTTTCTCAAATAATATTGCAGCAAATGATTCCTTAGCAGTGGCTTTGTTAGGGTCTGCACACTTGGGATGTTAACAGATGGTATCTAATTGCCTCCCCAGAGGCCCTACAGATTCGTGTGAGAGGAGGTGCTCCCAACATTCTTGACATTTGGGGGTAATACAAAATAATCTGATGGAGAGTTGTGTCTTATTTATATCGGTATACCTAAAATTATGATTGAAGTTGAACCTTTCATGGGTTTCTTTTTCTGATGACTTCCTGTTCACATCTTTTGCATATTTTATATGTGTTTATTGGATTGTTCATATTAAATAGCCCTTTATATGTGTGTTGTTTGCATTGCAATTCCTTCCCCAATAGGTCTTGTTGTTTTCTGAAAAATGATCTCCCTATGTTGCCAGGCTGGTCTTGGAAGCCTGGTTTAGTTGTTCTTCCAGCCTCCATACCCTAGCAGTGTGTACAGGTGTACACCACCATGCCTGACTCTCCCCATTGATCTTTTGGTTTTGATTAATGGATTTTTTTTATCATGCAGTACTTTATAGAAATGATATAGATTTATTAGTTTTTTTCTTTCATGGCTTTTTGAAATTGTAGTATGCTTAGGAAAGAAAGCCCTTCCTAGTTTAAGTTTTGTTTGTTTTGTTTTAAACAGGGTTTTAGAGTGTAATCCAGGCTGACCTTGGTTTATGATCCTCCTGCCTCAGTCTTCTGAGTGCTTGGATTATAAGTGTGTAGCACCATGCCCAGGACGAATATTTTTAAAAATCATGGAGCCAGGCATGGTGGTGCATGCCTTAATCCCAGCACTCAGGTAGCAAAGTGCATGGGGGATCTCTGTGAGTTCGAGGCCAGCCTGGTCTACATAGTGAGTTCCAGGCCAGCTGGGGCTACAGGGAGATCCTGTCTCAAAAAGACAAAAAAAAAAAAAAACATAATAGAATTAGTTTTCTCTGTGGGCCTGCCCCATCCAGTCACTTGATGCTCCTTGCCCTGGCCTCCCACTTCCAATGATTCTGTACTGGTAACTGCTGTAGTTAACTAAAGGCTCTCTCTTTCTTGCAGAAGCAGATGAGAGCCGATGAAGCCAAAATTGTTCAAGAAAAAGCTGCGAAGATTAAGGAGTGGGTGACAGTAAAGTTAGCAGAGGTGAGTCAAAACCTTACCACAAGGGTCCTGTCCTTATTCCTGGTGCCCTGCCTCTGCCTGACCGTACCTGACCTTCATTCTGTCAACCATCTGTCCTACATAGTTTAAACATTGACACACCCAGCTCCACTTTCCCTTTCCTTTTGTCTTGGTCAGCTTCCCCAAGGCTTGCTACTCACCTTAAGATTGGGTTTGAGGTCTGGAAGGGATGAGTCTTTGAAAGTTTCTGAAAATCCCGATTTTTCTAGTGAACATACTAACACGACCACCTATTCTCTCCTTTAGCTTTTTACTTTTTTTTTTTTTTTTTTTTTTTTTTTTTGTCTTTTTGAGACAGGGTTCTTCTCCCTGTAGCCCCAGCTGGCTTGGAACTCACTATGTAGACCAGGTTGGCCTCAAACTCACAAAGATCTGCCTGCCTTTACCTCCCAAGTGCTGGGATTAAAGTCATGTGCCACCAAGCCCAGCCTCTCCTTTAGCTTTTTAAAAATTGTGGGAACGTATACATAAAATTTGCCATTTTAACTGTTTATTAAGTATCCATCTCAGAGGTATTAAGCACATGCACTATGTTGTGTATCCATCACCATCACTACCTATTTCCAAAGGTTCTCATCACACTAGACAGAAACTTTATGCCCACCAAGCACTGACTCCCCCTTTTGCTCCTCTCTTAGCTCCTGGTAGTTTCTGCTCCTCTATTCCTCTGTCCATGTATTTCATCTCTTACTACAGCTGTGTTTAGGAAGTCAGGACCAGAAGCCATGGCATTACTGGTGAGCAAACATGAACAGGCTCTTTAAATTGCAAAAGGAAAGGAATCAACTAGACTGTGAGTCCTTAGGGATAGAATGAGCTAATGCCTTGCTATTACTCAGCTCTTTCTGGCCCTTGCTAAAAGGTGTTCAGGGTGGCTGGAGAGATGGCTCAGCAATTAAAGGCACACACTACTCTTCCAAAGGACCCAAGTTCAGTTCCCAGCACCCACATCAGGTGGCTAACAATCACCTGCATCTCCAGCTCCAGATCTGACACTGCTTTGGCTCCTGAGAGCATCTGCATTCACATAGAAGATACACATACCTGTGAATCAAAAAAATAAAAGGTGTTCAAAGCGTAGTGGGTTTAGTTTAAAAGAAAATACAGCCACCATGAGGATGAATCTCATAGACATCATGTTAAGAGACACAAAGCAGATGTAGAGAGTACATATATGCTGTGCAACTCTACTTAACTGAAGTTTGAAAGTGGGTACAACTAAACATTTGTAGGAATGCATACTGAGGTGGTGAAACCCAGAAAATAAGGAAATGACTCTGGCAAGCTGAGAAGAGCCATCGCCTTTCTCAGGGAGGAAGGAGAGTGTGATTGTGAAGGGACAAGTCTGGGCTGGCAAACTGCTATCTCTCACCTTGGGTGGTGTTCATATGAGTAGCAATTTCAAGATCATAAAGCAGTTCATTGAGGTGAGATGCTGTTTTCTGTGTATGTGTTATATATATCACATTTTTTTTAAAGATTAAAAATAGCCAGACGTGGTGGCACACGCCTTTAATCCCAGCACTCGGAAGGCAGAGGCAGGCGGAGCTCTGTGAGTTTGAGGCCAGCCTGGGCTCCATAGTGAATCCAGGACAGCTGGGGCTACAGGGAGACCCTGTCTCAAAAAGACCAAAAAATAAATAAAATAATGATGTGGGACTGGAGAGATGGCTCAGTGGTTTAGAGCATTAACTGCTCTTGCAGAGGACCTAGGTTCCATTCCCAGAAATGATATGGGGGCTAACAACCATTCATAACTCCAATTCCAGGGGAATCTGACACCCTCTTCTGACCTCCTTGGGCATTGCACGATATGGGTGCATTTACATACATGCAGGCAATACACTCATGCACACAAAATAAAAATCAATAAATAAAACATTAAAAAAAAGATGTAGCCAAGTCATGTGTGCATGTACACCACACACACACACACACACACACACACACACACACACACAGAAGTGCAGGGACTGCCAAGTGAATTCAACAAACCATTGGCACAGAGAAGGGAGGAGGTGAGGGCTCCTTGGGAAAGTTAGCACGGGATTAGTGGGGTACCATGTGTTCTTTTTCAAAGATTTGTACTTTTTAGCTTGTTTTGGATTATATATCTGAACCTGCTTGGACTGGGTATTCTAAATCTCCACTATTTACTTACCGCTGGGTGTCAAACGCAGGGCCTCTAGCAAGCTAGGCATATGCCCTACTACTGAGTTACACTGTCAGCCCCCAAGTCTTCGTTTCCTTTTTGCCCAGCTTGAAATAGAGAATCAGCACCTGAAGAGCTGTAATCAGCACCTGGTGGAGCAGGTGGGAGCCCTTCAGGATGCACTAGAAGGTAGGTAGCCAGGTCCACGTGCACAGCGGGGCATGGGACGGAATGGAGGAAGTGCTCAATGTGTGCGCCTGTTTTTTCCTCAACCACAGCTCTTCAGATGACACCTTCAGAGAAGCTTCTGGTAGACCCTGAAGGAACCCCAGAGCAGGATTCTGTCCCTTCAGGACCTGGAGCCCAGCCTGTGGGGCAGGACAGTGATGCCCAGACCCAACTTCTGAATGTGGTTGTGCCTGTACCTTCTCTGAGTGCCCTGCAGAGCAAGGACTCTGCATCTGAAGCCAGAAGTCTTGAGGATTTGAGCTCCAGCATGGCTAAACACAGCATGGGCCACCCTGGGGAAATAGCAGAGGCCAAGACCCTTCAATCACATCTGGGAAGAGAGGGCTCTTTCAGCCAGCTGTGCATGGAGTCTGGCAGCCCCAGATGTGGGTCATCCTCTTTCAGGGAGGGTCTGGTCACTACTCAGAGAGGGACACTCCCTGGGACCAAGGCCTCTGCCAGGGAAGGCGGCCCTGGCAGTAGCCTGACCCTACCGAAGGTACGAGCTCCCAGTATCCCAAGGGACAGCTTCCAGGTGGCCAGAAGGCACCACAGTCAGCCCCAGGTGGGCCCTGGGCATTTTGACCATGTGGTGAACATTAAGATTGGGACCCTGCCTGCCCTCCATCCCTCTGGCCACTCCAAGTCCAAAGTCAGAGCTGAAGTCTGGGAAGAAGCAGAGAAGATGGAGATGGAAGCGCCACCTCCAACAGGGAAACAGGAAGAAGAAGAGAGCCTGAAGCCTTCCAGAACTGAGCTAGAGGAAGTGGACCTGGAGAATAAACCACCCACACCTCCCCTGCACCGGTTTCCATCCTGGGTAAGAGATGCCCTCACGGTTGGACGGGGGCAGAGCAAACCACAGGCATGCTGTTCATTGATAGTATCCCCATGCTGAGCCTGAGATGGCTTATCCTCAAAGCACTGTGGGAGTCTGGTACCACAGGCCTGTCAAGCCCACTCAGCGAGGCAGGGCAGACCCAGAATTTTAAATGATACGGACAGTAGCTGGCTATTACTTTGAGTGCTCAACATGTGCCACATGCCACTCTGGCTGCTTTGTGCATTTTCCCATTTCATCTTTGAGATTCTGTGGTGATATGTGTTGGATTGAAGAGTACAAGTCTCAAGATCAAGCTACTAGGGTTGAATTGCTGACTGTGTGAACCTGGGCACATTACTAAGCCTCTGGTCCTCAGGTTCCTAATCTGCAAAATGGTGGTAATAGTGACTGCTAATAGGGTTTATTTATTTACCTTTAATTTATTTGGGGAGGGGCATGTGCGACAGTGTGCATGTGGAGGTCAGAGGATGACATGCAGGAGTCAGTTCTCTGCTTCCATCATGTGGGTTCTGGAGATTGAACTCCATTGTCAGACTTGTGGCAAGTGCTTTTACCTACTGAACCATCTCACTGGCCCTACTAAGAGGGTTCTTTATGAAGATTAAATGTTTATTTAATACGTGCTTGTAAGTAGTAAGTGGTTTATCAGTATTGCTGTTTTTATTCTGAACCTTAGCTCAGTAACATTCTATAAAATGACAAGATGTTCGGTGGAACTGCTTTGGAATCTGATCTGGGGTGGAGGTGGGGATCCAGATGAAACAAGACTGAATGTACACTAATACAGAGTGAAGGTGGGTGATGGGGACAGGAGGTCCTTCCTTCCACTGTTCTCCCCACTTCTCTATCTTACCAGTGATGCAAAGTTAAAATGAAAACAGGGAAGGTAGAGTGTGAGTGTTCACAGGTCTGTGGAGGATGGCATGAGGCCTTAAAGGAATCAGCACAGACCCTAGAAGTATCCTCACCTGTATGAGGAATTAGGAATTTCTCCCTTTGATAGATAGGAAACTGCTGTCCCCATAGTTTGGCCACTTCCAAGGACATGTAGTTAGTAAAGGAACTGGGCTCTCGGTAGAGGTCTGGCCGCCTTGAAGCACAGTTCCTGCACTCTCGCTGCACTGCCTCCTGAGGACATGGGCACAGCAGATATAGTTTCTTTTTGTTGTTGTTGTTTGAGACAGGATCTCCCTATAGCCCCAAGTGACCTGGAACTCACTATGTAGACAAGGCTGGTCTCCATCTCACAGAGATCTGCCTGCCTCTGCCTCCCAAGTGCTGGAATTAAAGGTGTGTACCACCCAGATGTCATCTCTTAATCAGGCCCAATGCTACAGAGGTATAAGCACCTGAGGGGACATCTCAGTGTTGGCTGCTGGCTCAGAGGGATACTCTGGGTTGGGGTTGGATCCCCTCACCAGGAGCCCCTAATTCCAGCAGCATCTTCCAGGACCTCCTTTTGAAGTGTTGGTTCAGGGAGGTTCCCAGCCCAGGCTTCTTGACCACACCCTTAGCAGTGACTGCTTACTAGCTGCTGGTTACTGCAGGAGCACCTGAAAGACTGGAGCTCCAGCTGAGTGTTGAGCAGGGTTGGAAGGAAGGTTAGTGGGCCAGGAAGTGTAGTGTCCCTGATGGCTGGCCCTCTGTTCATTGCTGTCTTACCCTGTAGCCCTAAAGCTAGGTAGGGGTAAGGGAGCATTCAGATAGGGATGTGACAGGAGGGCTTATTCAATGTTCTCTGAGAGAACCATTGCTCCTTTCTGTCATTTTACCAAAATACAGGCAGCCACTGTTGTGGCTAAGAGTGGTTCTTATGTTTTCCATGCACATGTCAAGTGTGCATATCTGTGTAAGAGAAAGGAAAGAAAAGAGAAGAGACATGTCTGAAAGTGTGCTGGGGACCTGAAATCCCAGCATGCTGAGTTGAGAAAAGTCAACACAGGATTTCAGGCCATCCTGGTAACATAATGAGACCCTGTCTCAAAAAGAAAACAGTAAAATGTTCCACATAGCACTGCCCATCGTCAGCTGCATGCCAGGGATGCAGGTGTTAAGGGTCAGTGTCAGGTCTTTCTACTGGTCTCCCTGTTCTCAGCCTGGGCCATGGGAACCCCATGAAGTGGCCGTGCAGTTTAAGGAGAATTTGTCTCCTATTTGCAACTCTCTTTGTAACTTGCTCCTGGGAGAAGATCCCTGTCTGGTGTGAGCTTAGGAGTCTATCAGGCAGGACCAGCTGGGCAGTAACCTTCAGTTTGAAAAAGCAAAGCCTGGGATTCAGAGAGGGACATTTCTCAAGCCATGTAACGAGAGGGTCAGATGTACTTATTTGCCTTTAGAATTTATAGAGCTCTTTTAATCCTTAAAAAAAAACCTTGCGAGGGAGGTACTTGGTGCCCTTTGTCTAACACTGCTATCTTTTGTTTGACGTCACTCCCTCAAGTTTGAGTTTCATTTCCTTTATGAAGTTGGAAACCTGTCCTTGGTTTAAGTCGCTAGATGCTATGGGCAGAAATAATCTCTTCTGTGTCTAATTTTACTCCTGACACTTGACGTATCTGTCCTGCCTGAGCACAGGCATCCTTGCCTGGACGCCTCCCTCTGTCACTGTCTTCCACCTCTGTCCTGTCACAGCTGTGGTTATGTCCACATCCCCCTACTGCATGCTGCCCCTCTGGAGTCATACCCTAGCATACATTCCACTCCCTTCCAGCCTTGGCCCTTAATTGCTTCACTGGTCTAGCATGGCTAACTTCCTGGTCAGCGTTTGTGACTCACCAGTCACCTGAGTGGGCCTTTGTTTTCCTTGTAGGCCTAGTGGAGCAAACAGAGCTGGAACAGCATGGGCAGGGCCTTCCTGGTTGGTAGGAGGAAGGCTCTTTTGCCCTAGGATCCTACTTCAGACGCAAGGACAAGCTTTTAGGGCCGGCCAGCATTTTCTTCAAAAGTGTCTTACCTCAGGGTTCTGGAGCCTATTGGGCTAAATAGCTTTATGGGCTGGCTGGCCTTGGAAGCCTAACACAGCACACTGCTGCTGTAGGAAGACAATGTATCCTGACTTACAAGCAGCCAAGTTACAAAAGAGGGTCACCCTGTGGCTTTCCCTTTCTCATTGTCAGCACTCTCAACCTGGGGGTGGGGTTGGGGGTTAGATCCTGAGACCCACGGGCAGCTCTACTGCTCTCCTCTTTGAGCCTTCTTTGTCTCAAGGTGGACAGTAGAGGCTAGTGCAAATGAGTATCTGTTAAGCATGGATTATGTCCAAGGTACTAAATGTTTACATTCTACTTTAGTTACTTCATTTGATGCCATGGCAGCCTCTTGCAAGGTCAGTATTATTTTAGAGCTGAGAAAAATGAGGCTTAGAAACAAAGAAACTTGCTTGAGATTCCTGTCAGTAACTGGTCCACCCTCAGTGTGAACCTCCAAAATCATGTTTTTCCTCCACTCTAATGAAGAGAGCATAGTCCTGGGCCCTGACTACCTGGGACCTTTTATTTCAGGAGAGCCGGATCTACGCAATGGCCACATCAGGGATGCAGCTTTCAGACGTGTCTTCTCGAAATAATACTACCTGCTGCGGTGAGTTCAAGTGAAGTGTGAAGGGCCTAAATGTCCTTGGTGAGCCTGGCCCCATTTCTTTCCCCAGCATGTACAGTTCAGGCAGCTAGGATGACCTAGGAACAGCAAAAAAAGGTGTAAAAGTTCAGACCATATAGGGGTCCTACAGCCCAACCTTCCACTTCTTTGTGCTTCCCTTCTGCAGGACTGAGACTGGGAGGGAAGAGCCCTAAGTCCACTGATTCAGATGAGCCCTGACCACCCATGGCATTCCTGCAGGGATAGGCCCATATTTAGCAAGAGTCGGGTATAGAGCAAGCCTCCTGGGGGAGAAAATTGTTAGAAGGCAAGATTTGGATTTTGTGGAGATGGGTCCTTTTATCCTACAGGCATGATCCCAGGGAAGTCAAGAGGAACGGATTGGAAGGAGAGGAGATAAGGAAGGCTTTGGTACCCTTCCGGTCTACCTGATTCTTTGCCTCCCCAAACCTCTCAACTGTGCCTCCTCAGTTCCCTCCATCCCTTTTTTTCCCCTCAGCTTCAAGCCCTGCTGCCCTTGCATCCCCTGGGGCTTTCTCTGGCCTTGTCTACAAGAATGTCACTGTACCTGTCTACACAACGCTGAAGGGGGTAAGAAGCCGCTATCCAAAGAAGGGATGCTCCCATCAGGAGAATCCTGTTCCCAATATGCAGTGCCTGGGGATAGTGGGCAGGTATCTTCACATAGTGTATGGTCAGGGAGCGTGTGCGATTTTTTTTTTCCCCTTGTTGGAAGGAAACAAGATTATTCAGTATACTGCAGACAATACACAACACAGAAGTTCAAGGTTAAACTTATGCCTGCTCCAGCTCTTCTCCTGTCATTTTTCCTGTCTCATATTCCCCAGGTCCAGGGTCTCCTTCCAAAGTTGTTTATACGTGTTTAAATGCACACTCCCATAACCTCACTAACATGTTTTTAAGTTTTTTTATTACATTTATTTACTGTATTTGTGTGTGTGTCTGTCTGTCTATGTATACATGTGCATGTGTGTATGGCACATGTATAGAGGTCAAAGGCCAATTTGTGGGAATTTGCTCCTTCCATTATGTGGGTCCCAGGGATTGAACCTCAGGTTGGTAGGCTTGATGGTAAGCACCTGTACCCATTGAGCCATCTCACTGGCCCATAATATGTTATTTTAAACAAAAAATCATGACTGCAACATGATATTTTCATACATTTTTTATCTTTTGTTATTTCTGTTTTTGCAGTGCTAGGAGTAGAACCCAGGGCCTCTCATGTGCTAGGCAGGTGCTGTACCATTGAGCTACACCCAAGCCCTTGTTATTCATGTTCTCTTCATAACAGTAATGCTTGCTGAAACATTTCTTAGAAGAATAAAAAACCAGAAGTAAAATTTCTTTCACGTTGCTTCCCCCTAATTCCTAACTTGAAGTCACTGTCATTAATGAGTTGGTGCTGATTCTGCAAGGCCTTTGAATGCCTTTGCAAATGTGCACGTGCATGCCTGTACATGCTCTCTCCTTTTCCCATTCCCCTCTCACCCTCATCCTCTCACACGTGCAGGCACACACATGCACACAAAGGGATCCTATACAACCAAGTATGTCTTGGTTGCTCACTTGACCATGTGTCAGGCTTCTCCTCTGAGCCTCCTCACATGCCTGTTTGTTACTCCTGGTGTAGATGCATCATAACTACCTTGTCTTCCTCCACTCATTCACAGTAGGTTGAGTCTCTGTCTTTTTTCAAAGTAAATGCTGCAGTAAGCACCATTCTGCATATACATCCTGTAACACAGTTTTAGAGATAGAATTCCTGGGCAAGTTACAGGAATGCTTTAAATTCTGTCAGAGTCTGCCAAATTACTTTATTATTGATTTCTTAAGATATTTTCTTTATTGATTTTATTTTCTGTGTATGAGTGTATTACTTGTATGTGTGTAAGTACACCCATGTTGTATAATGTCTACGAAGATCAGAAGAGGGCATCGGATTCCCTGGAACTGGAGTCACGGATGGTTGTTAGCTGCCATGTGGGTGCTGGGAATCAAATCTGGGTCCTCTGCAAGAGTAGTCAGTGCTTTTAACCACCGAGCCATCTCTCTAGCCCCAGTTTTTATTTTTTTATATGTATAAATGTTTTGCCTGTATGTATGTAAGTGTACCACATGTGTGCAGTGCCTGCAAAAGCCAGAAAAAGATGTCAGATCCCCTGGAACTGGAGTTACAGACATTTGTTATCTGCCATACAGGTGCAGGGAATTGAACCTGGGTCCTCTGGAAGAACAACCAGTGTTCTTAACCACTGAGCCATCTCTCCAGCCATTCAAATTACTTTCTAAAAGCACTTTGTGAGCTGGAGATGGAGCTCTGTGGTAGAGCACTTGCCTAGAACAAGTGAGGCTCTGTGTTGTATCTTTAGCACACATACAAAAAGGGACCAAACAACCAAAATAAATACAAATACTTTGTCACACTAGAATACCTTTAGCTGTGTTTTCACCATACTGTCACCAGCACTGAAATAATCAGCCCAAGTGTTTGCTATTGAGGATCTCTCCCTACCTCAGTGTCCTTACACATTTGTAAAGCTCCACCATGCCTGGTGGGAGGGGCTTGTTTTGAAGCCTGAATTGTAGTTGGAGGGGCCTGTCTTGCAGAGAGCCACACAGATCAGCAGTGTGCCCTTTGTGGATGAGTCCTCTGGGTCTGATGATGACTGTGGCTCTCAAGCAAGTTTCTGGATGTCAGCCCCTTGCTCCGAGTGCAAGAAGACGAGTGGACTAGGCAGCCCTCGGGCCATCAAGAGAGGTACAGTGGGAGAGGGGACCCTCAGCTCTTCCCCTGCTTGATCTCTGCCTGGGATCCCTGGCAGCTCCACCCTCAGCCCCAGACTTGAAGGATCCCAGTGGGTGATGAGAGCCCTGCATCTCCTGGCCATGGGTTCTAGGGAGGTGTGGGCCCTGATTCCTCCTCCTGTGGCCAGGGGTTTCCATGTCCTCACTGAGCTCTGAGGGTGATTACGCCATTCCTCCTGATGCCTGCTCACTGGACAGTGACTACTCAGAGCCTGAGCACAAACTCCAGCGCACCTCATCCTACTCTGTTGATGGGCTGAGCCTGAGTGGGGTAAGCAGGACACATAACCCCATGCCTGGATGGGTGGGGGACACTGGGTGGGAGCAGATTTATGCAGAGGCTGCCTGGGCCTCAGCGCCCACACAGGTAGCAGCTGAGGGAGAGAAGAAACCCTGGAGATGAGAGCAAGGGGGCCCTTCAGAGTGGGCTAGAGTGTCTAGTTACTGAGGCAGATGTATACGCACCCCATGAGGAATAAAGATAGAGCCTGGGAAACTCCAGATCTCCTGAGGGTTTGCATCCATTACCTTGTTTAATCTCTCTGACCCTCAGCTGTTGACACAAGCTAACCCAACTGAGCTTTAGCATGCAGCGTGCTGCCTCGTTGCTTGCCTTTTACTTCATGTCTCATCTGTCTGCATGGTCCTCTTGGGATTATTGCACTGTTTTATAGATGGGAAGTCTGAGGCCTAGTGACGGGCCCCATGTGCCTGCTTTCTCCCACCTGTAACACCTGGAATGACCTCTCTCCTTCTCTCAGCTGGTCTTTAAAAGAGGAGCTTGACTTTCCTTTAGAGGCTAGTTTAGGTGCCATTCTTTCCTAAAGCCCTCCCTGGTCAGCCTCTCCCACCTACAGCTGCTAATCTTCCACCTATCTTGGAGAGCCAGGCAGTCCTTGCCCAGGCATTGTGGGAGCCCTTCTATGGATTCTTTACTCTGTTCTATTTGGATCTCAGTAGGGTACTGTCTGGAAAATAAATATTCATAATAGTCAACAATTTTTTTTAACAAGCTGGTAGAGGAGTGACCTGAGCCCCAAGTAATTTTCCCTTTTGTCTCTTCTTTCACCCCTCAGGAGTCACTGGAGAAGTCAGGCTACCTGCTGAAAATGGGGAGCCGGGTGAAGACATGGAAGAGGCGCTGGTTTGTCCTGAGACAGGGACAAATTCTGTACTACAAGTCTCCGGTGAGAGCCCCAAGTCTGCAATCACAGGGACCCCAGCCCAGACCCAGAACCATAGCAGATGGGCTGGAGAAAGGGCAGTATGGCTTGAGGCCAGAGGCAAAGATCTGGCAGGTGGGAGAGGCAGCCCAACTGACCTTGGTGGCTCTGAGCCACATCGGGGACCAAGAGGTAGTCACCCGTTCTTATACTGAAATAAGCCAGGGGACTATCAAGACAGTTCTAGGCCAGTTGGCTGGCAGTTTCTTCTTCAGAACTGATCTCTTCTTATGTCTGGCCTTGTGAAAAAGGACCGTTCCCAGCTGCCTTCACCTCTTTTGGATTGTTTTAATAGACAAATTCATTCCTTCGCCTCCTTTATCTACTGTCTGGAATTGAGGAGCCTTGAATGTTGGGATCTAGGTTGACAGGACCTCACAAAGAACCTGTTGCAATGTGTTAAAGAGGTCAAGATGGCTTGTCTCTTGTGTAGCTCTGCTTGGTAGTGGCTGTTAAGGATTTTGGGCTCGTATTCCTCCACAAGAAAAGTTCCACTATCAATTAGAAATGTCTGTAGTAACACTTGGAAGGATAACAGTGTCAATTTGTCATGGGTATAAGGATGGAATAGAAAGATTCTTTTTTTTTTTTTTTTTTTGGAGACAGGATCTCACTTATAAAGCCCTCCCTGGCCTGGAACTCGCTATGTAGACCAGGCTGACCTCAAACTCATAGAGATCCACCTGCTTCTGCCTCCCTCCAAGTACAGGTGTGCACTACCATGCCCAGCCTCTTTTTTTTTTTTTTTTTTTTTTTTTTGAGATGAATCTTGCTTTGTTGTCTAGGCCAGCCTCATATTCTTGGGTCATGGCCTACTGAATAGTTGAAACTATAGACATATGTCACAACAGCTTGGTAAAAGGACTATATGGGCTTTATAGTTCTGTAATAAACTGGTGACTTCTGATCCAATTTTAAAGGCTCACTGTCTTTTTTGAGGCCTGAGTTAGTAGGATTCATTTTTCCTAATTATGGCTGTTTTGCTAGAATCAGAATCTAGAACAAGTTACACATTATACCTAGCAGGGAAAGCTTGGGAATCACTTTCTGCTTTGTGCCTATACCTGGTGTAAAATAGGAGGTATGTGGTGCTCTGAGAAGCCTCCAAACACCAGTGCTCTCCTCCTTACTCCTTTCTTTAAAGAGTGATGTCATCCGGAAACCTCAAGGTCAAGTGGATCTGAACTCCCACTGCCAAATTGTTCGAGGGGAAGGTGCTCAGACATTCCAGGTGAGCCTGCTCTAAGCAGCTGCATTTTTCAGATTTTAGACAGATGGGGTGCTGGTTTGCATATGACTATGACTGAAGCAAAGAAGGGGGAAAATGAACAGGAATGAAAGGTTTCATATCAGGAGTGATGTGCCCTTAGCTAAGAAAGGAAGAGGAGGGAGAAAGAGATGGAGTGAAGGAAGGAAAGGCAGAGAGGAAATACGGGGAGGGAGGTTGAAGGATTTGTGCTACTCAGAGCCTGTCTTACATCCCCTGGCTCTAATCCCCTCCTCTCTTCCCACAGCTCATCTCTGAGAACAAAACCTACTACCTAACTGCAGATTCGCCCAGCCTGCTGGAAGAGTGGATCCGAGTCCTACAGAGCTTGCTGAAGGTGCAGGTCACTGGGCCTCCAGCACTGCATCCAGGAGGCACCAAGCCTACTGTAAAGGGCTGGCTAACCAAGGTACAGAGTAGAATCGGTAGAGGAGTAATGGGTGCGAGGCATAGGAGTGCCAAGAGATAGTGGGCTCCTTTCTCTAAGAACTGCATCACAGTGGTTAGTTGGTTGGCTCTCAAACATGGTCTGGCATACAAGATGATGGTGATGATCCTCTGGAAACAGAGATGAGGTTATCAGAACAAGTACTCTGGAGACAAAAGGAAAAGGAATGTTTTCATCCACTGTTAGGTCTTTAGGAGTTGCCCCACAGTGTGCCCATTTGTCTCAGGATTAACAGTGGGGGGAAAAAGACCTGGGTGATGCCAGTGTGGCTGTCATTCAAGACTTGTAGTATTCCAGGCCTACCTAGAGACATTTTTAGGGGCTCTTTAATTACAAAGGGCTGAGTAGGCACTAGTTAACCCCAGAAAAAGGATATTAACTAGGAAACACATTAACAGGACCAGAATGCCATCCAGAACTCACAAGTTCTTTCCCTCTGCCTCTGCTTTTCGATCAATCTGTTTGTCATTCTCTGCCTGTGTTCAATTTCTGTTCCCTAGTGATTTATGGTTGTTTGAGGGCTTCAGACTGCCAGAGCCTTTATTTACCATGCAACATCCTGACAACTTTGGCCTCTCCCAACTAGCAAGTTCTGGATAATCTTTTCAGTGGCAGGTCATAGATCACTGAGTGGCCAAAGAGAGTCTGGAATGCTACTACGTACACATGATGGCAGCCTTGATGTGAAAGGGGTTCCACTCGTCTGAGTGGTAGCTCCACTAGGACCCTACTTATCCATCCCCCCCTCCCCCAAGTCCTCTCTTGGCTAGCCCCAGACTTACTTGGGGCCCTGGCTCAAATAAAGTTACTTCACTTTCTCTTACAGGTAAAGCATGGCCACTCCAAGCTGGTCTGGTGTGCTCTTATTGGGAAAACCTTCTACTACTACCGGAGTCATGAGGACAAGGTACTTCCCCAGCCTCCCAACAGCCCCTACTTCCTGCCTCTTCCAAACTATGCTACTGTGCCTCCATGTAACTGATGGCAGCCCCCAGCTTCACCTTCTACCACATCAAAGCTTACAAGAAGTGCAAAAGCCAGCTGGCTGGTTCCCACCAGAGCATGTGACCAGCATCATGGCTGGTGTATTCAGTCAGCTGGTACTTTTCCAAGCACTGTCTTCTGCTTTTGTCCTGGCTGCAGTACTGCAACTTTCACTTCCTCAGCCTTCCATCTGTCCACATCCCATGACCTCCAGCCCCACAGAACCCAAGGGCTCAGAGAAAAGGGACTCCCCTGTCCCCTTCGCTCTTCCATTCATGGACGGTTCATGTCCACAGCGACCCTTGGGCTACCTGCCTGTGCAGGGTGCCCACATAGAGGAAGTGGATCGATCCTGTGACTCAGACGAAGACTATGAGGCTGGAGGAACTGGACGGTTGCTTTCTTCCCACTGCACCCTGGTGATCCATCCTCCAGAGCACAGCCCCACCTATCTCCTCATAGGCACCAAGCATGAAAAGGTAAGGGAGGAGCTGGGCCTTCATGGCCTTCTTGGACCTGTGTTCTGGTCTTCCCTTCTCTCTCTTTCCCAATTCAAGTTTATTTCCTTCTTGGATACTGGCTAATAATCTTTAAATAGGAATACTGCTTTCAGTTGAATTCATTCCCAGTGACCAGCATCTCTTCATTCATGGGGCTATGATACAGAGTCAGAAACTTGGAAATTTGGGTTCATAGTCACCTGACCCTGCATCCCCATAGAAACTGGTGGCCTTGACTCATGCCAGCCAAACTAGCTAAAATCCATTCTTTTTTTTCTAAGACACAGCCTTATTTAGCCCAGGCTGGTCTTAAACTCAATCCCTCTGCCTCAGCCTCCCAAATCCTGGTATCCTGGTGTCCTGGTATTACAGGTGCACACCTCCATGCCCAGCTTTAAAATTACAGACTATTTCAGGGAGGGCCCTCAGGATGGAACCCAGGGCCTCACATGTGCTAGACAAGTGCTCTACCACTGAGCTACATCCCCTGCCCTGAACCCCACTCTTGCCCCAACTCTTCCCACACCATGTGCATCTCATTGCTTTCTGCCCTTTTCCAGGATACATGGCTTTACCACCTCACAGTGGCAGCAGGTGGTAGCAGTGCCAAGGTGGGCACTGCCTATGAGCAGCTCATTGGGAAACTGATGGAGGGTGAGGGAGACCCAGGTAAGGCGTGAATGGCCATCACTGCATGGGTTGGAGGGAAGTGGCTGGGTGCTTATTAGGCAAGAACACAAAGAAAGCACTACAGCACCTAGAAGCTGCATTAAACATGCCTCAGGCATAGAGGGAATTCCTGCCCCATGCTCCAGGGCCCCTCTGTCCCTGGCCAAAATCCTGAGGTGACTGCTGTATGTGAGGGAGTTCTGTCTGGGAAACAGACTTTACAGAAACTTGGGTCAATGTTTTACTCTTTTTAACCTGCAGCTTTGCTAGCTAGGCAGAGGACTGGAGGGGGCGGCGCAGCTGGTTAATCTGTAGTTAAGAGTCTGTTAATAAATGAAGCCTCAATCTGTATGAGACTAACATAAGCCTGGGCTGTTTGGGGGGTCCTTGTTTTGCTACTGGTTCTCGGGGTCCTCGTGAACTAACCAGAGGTGCACACCATGCATACCTCTTTACTAGATCTCTGAGGATTGTCTCTTTTAGGCTGATCCATGTGTTCCTTTGACCAGACCTGTAAGGAAGGCCTCCCCTGCACACAGACACCTGTGCTCAGAAGCACTCACAGTCTTGTTCACTTATCCCTACTGCAGGCCCCCAGCAAAGCTTTGGCTGCCTCCTTTTCAGCCATGCTTGGGAATGTGCAAATTGTCTTGCCCTGCAGCCTGTGGATGATCAACCTAACACAAGTTATGTTTCGGGTAGTGTTAGACCACTGTCTTCCCTGTGAGTCAGAGTTGGGGCTGTTAGGGTGGGAAGTGAGTTCCCTCCTCTGTAGTAACTGCCACTGCTCTCTGGTCTGTGCTTTGGGCAGACTCCCCGCTCTGGAGGCATCCCATGCTGTGCTACAGCAAAGATGGGCTGTGCACCTCCCTTACAACCCTGCCCTCCGAGGCCCTGCAGACGGAGGCCCTCAAACTCTTCAAGGTAATGTGGGAGTGGAGCCCAGGCCACTGGCTGGTGGTGCCCACATGTGCCCAGGTTCTGCCTGGCACAACCCAAGTTCATCACAGCAGAGGAGACCTATATGGTTATGGGGTACCCAAGGACTGTAGAGAAGGGAAAGTCCCACAGAGTCCCTTTTATGGCAGGAATATAACCCTTTTGCAAGCAGGGAGGTGGCTCTGGGGCTTGGGAATGCCAGCAAAGACTCCCTTGAGGCTCTGCCATCGCCTTGAAGTAACAGCAAGAAAGGCCAGGCTTGCATTGCTTTGGATGGGAACTTCTTTCTTGGTTTAGAATGTTCTTTGTGCTCATCCGAATTTTCTGATTTTTTAAAAAAATTAACGTACCAGGGGTCTGGTATGGTGCTAAATTCCAGGAGTTAAATGCCAGTGGTCTGAGTGGGCTATCTTGTGCTACTCTGTCTCAAAGAAAATGTTTTTCCCTCTTATGTAGGCAAGCTTATGTCTTGCTTGTGTAATGGAAACATGTAAAGAAGAGATTCTGTCCCTACAATAGCCCCTTTTAGCCTCACAAGCAGTAACAGTGCTCCCTCTAGAGAGGGCTGCCCATCAGTGAACTTGAGCCTTCCTTGAGGCTCTGCTTGAGGTCTCAGACACCACTGCACACTAGGACAGTAGTGAAGGGGCTGCCTGTGCCCACTGCCGTTCTCCTTCCAGTCCTGCCAGCTCTTCATCAATGTGCCTGTGGAGGCTGCCTCGGTGGACTACCATGTGTCCCTGGCACAGACAGCACTGCAGGTCTGCCTTGTTCACCCTGAGTTACAGAGTGAGATCTACTGCCAGCTCATGAAGCAGACCAGCTGCCGCCCACCTCAGAAGTACTCACTCATGCAGGTAGAAATACCCTAGGGACAGAAACTGGCTGGAACCATTGGCAAGGGCTGCCCAAGGTGTGGGGAGAGTGGAAGGAGGTGCCTGAGCAGGTGTATATCCATCCTAGCCAGTGGGCAGCCGCCATGCTCCCATCTGCTTCTGTGATTGCCATCCTGCGCAATGCCTGACCAAGGTGGCCATCTCAGTGCCACAGAGAATTGAGGCTCTGGTGTGGGGAAAGAATGCTGAAAGTTATGCAGCTGAGAGCTGCAAGGGTAGGAGGTGCCCAGTACTCACTCCACACTGCCTGTGTTCCTTGGCAGTGCTGGCAGCTCCTAGCTCTGTGTGCCCCACTCTTCCTGCCTCAGCACCACTTCCTCTGGTATGTCAAACAGCAGCTCCAGCGCCATGCAGATCCCAAGTAAGTGAATGCACTTCCTCTGCCACCCCTGCTCTACTGACGAGCTTATTCAAAGGGATGAGGGGGAGACGAGGCTGAATTGACTGCATCTCCCTCCCCTCCAAGAGTTACTCAGGGTCAGAAGACTTCACCCATTACCATGAACCCATGGGCATGTGGAGGTCTGCACATACGGCAGCATCTCTGGACACCAATCCAGAGAAGGGTGTTTTGGGAAGGTTTTCATGTGAAGCCACACTGCCCCAAATTGTCCTCAAATGTTCATTATCTGTTACCACATCCTTCTGGCCTCTGCAAGAAAATATTCATGCCAGGGCTGCAGATGTAGCTCAGCAGTACAGCACTTGCCTTGCATATACAAGGTGCTGGGTTAGATCCCCAGTACTGGTTTAAAAACAAAAGAAAATATCCGTGGCAGCATTGTGCTACAGATAGGTCCTCAATGACAAATGAACACCCTAAATTAGGCCAGTGAGATGATAAAGATGCTTGCTGCTAAGCCTGAAGACCTGAGTTTAATCCCTGGGACCCACATGGTAGAAGGAAAGAATCCGCTCCCACGAGTTGTCCTCTGACCTCCACACATGTGCCATGTGTATGCAAAAAAATATAAATAAATAGGTAAAAACACCCCATACTAGTCTTCAGAGCTTTCCCCATACCCTGTCCAGCTAGTTTTTGCCTGGCTAAGTCTGGGTGTGCATCCTAGGGTGTCAAGAAGAAAGGATGACAATTCCTAGCATTTCCTCCTTCCCCTATCTTTTTAGAAATGAAACTGGTCAGTATGCTACCTACTGCCAGCGAGCAGTGGAACGGACCCTGCAGACAGGAGAACGGGAGGCCAGGCCATCACGTATGGAAGTGGTGTCCATCTTGTTACGAAACCCCTTCCACCACTCCTTACCCTTCAGCATTCCTGTGCACTTTGCCAATGGAACGTACCAGGTGAAGAGGCCGAGCATGTTCCCTGCCCCGAATCTTCCTATATCACTGTCCAGAGAACCTTTTTTTAATTAAATGGATGTTAAGCCTCTTAGGCTTTCAGATTAATAAGCAAACCAGCAAAGGGATGGGCCTATTCCAGGATAGCCAGTGCTACATAGTGGGAACCTGTCTCAAAAACCTTAAAAAAGGGGGGGGGCTACATTTGAGGTGGGAGTAGCATGGTTTGTGTGTGTACAGGGAGAAAGGACTTTGACTCCCAAAGTCCCTCACTGTTTGGTGCCTTAAGTCTTTTGAGCCTATTGTATGAACAGGGAAGCTGAGACACCGGCCAAGAAAGTAGCATAAGGTAGAGGCCCTGGAAGACTGACAGTAGAGAAGGGACTAGGTCTCTGTCCAGTTCTAGTGTACAGTGGGCAGGCTCAGATTCCTGCATGTGACTAACAAAGCCACTGGCTTTGGCCACTGGCCTTCACCCTTGCTCCTTTCCACCTGCTGTGCTCCAGCTTCTCCATGATCCCCAGTCTCAGGAAGTTCACTGAGTCAGACTGCCCCCCCACACCCCACAGGTAGTTGGTTTTGATGGCTCCTCCACAGTTGATGAGTTCCTCCAGCGGCTGAATCAGGAGACAGGCATGAGGAAGCCTTCCTACTCTGGCTTTGCCCTCTTCACAGATGATCCTTCTGGCAGGAACCTGGAGCATTGTCTACAAGGAAGTGTCAAGGTAATAGCCTCCCAGCTTAGCTACCTTTAGACTTAAGAGATACAGGTGATGGGGACAGAGCTCCAGCCAACGTGTGCCTAACTGTCAAGCAGCCTGTTTGGTGCTGAGACCAGTGTGCTTCCCAGGACAAAATTTCTGCGTCTAAAATGTGCTTTGCAAGCAGAGAAAGCTGCATGCGACCTACATTCTGGAGACAGGCTCTTCAGAGCCCCCTGTTCCTCAAGTGGCCATGCAACATCCAGGGGAAGAGCCTTGTTAGCTCAATGTAAGGACAAGAAGGCCCTACCACGCCTGCCACCAACTATATCTGCCCACCTAGGTTGGCAACTACAGCTTAGACCCAATGGGTGTCATGCTGTGCACTAGCACCTAGCTTTTACCCTGTCTGCCAGGGCCTACACTATGCTTATAGATCCAATCATAGTTTAAGGAGGTGGATCCTCATAGTATGCCTGTAGGTGAAGGCCTTTGAATGGGATTTACAACTTGTCTGTACTGTGGACTGAGGTTGGTTCCATTAGGGTGTTAAGGGTTTGTGTGAAATATGTTGCCACATTGGATGGGTGCATTTGGCTCTAATATCTGCTTCGTTTGCTGCACCAGAATAAAGGCTTCTAATCTTTCACGTTGTCTGGAAAAACTGTCACATATCTTTCTAGTAAAGGTCTAGGCTTCTGTAAGGCTTTGAACACAGTAGACCTTCAAGTGTATTTTTTATTTATTTATTTTTATTTTATGTGTATGAGTGTTGTGCCTGCATGTGTGGAAGTGCACCCGTGTCATGCAGTGCCCGTAGAGGACAGAAGAGGGCATTGGATCCCTTGGAACTGGAGTTACGGACAGTTGTTAGCTGACATGTGGGTGCTAGGATTCGAACCTGGGTCTTCTTCAAGAACAGCCAGTGCTCTCATCCACTGAGCCATCTCTCCAGCCCCTCAAGTGCATTTTTTTTTAAACAAGAATGTGGTCAGTGAAATATAAATGGAGCCAGGAGGCCATGAATTTTGAATGGGCCTGCTTACCCCCTCAAGAAGTCTCTTCAGCCTTCACAAGGTCAATGGGGCAATGTCCCTTTCTTAGATGCTCACACATCCAGGGTGCCCTCCACCTCCCCATCTGAGAGGGAACTGGTAGGCACCTCCTGTCCTGGCAGCCTGAAGTCTTGTATGGCAGCCTTCTGATGACAGGACTCTCACTCAGCTCTGCCAGAGTCCAGCTCTGGCTGGACCCTAGTCTCATGAGGGGTTTTTCTGACTTGAATCTTTTGCCTCTTCAAGATCTGTGATGCCATCTCCAAATGGGAACAAGCCTTGAAGGAGCTGCACCCTGGAAAATCTGAGGGTGGGACACGAGTCGTGAAGCTGATGTATAAGAACAGGTCCTGAGAGTGGCTGAGGGTGGGGTGGACACGAGGGCCCTAATGGGTGACAGACAGCTCATCTCCTCCCAAACACGATAGCCTGTCTCAGTCAGGCACAGGGGCCCATAGGTGCCACCCTGTATGGTAATTATCATCTGTGGTGCTGGCTGGCCCTGATCCTGATCCTCCATGAGACCCTGGCAGCCCAGGCTTCTTGTTAGCCTTCTCTGTACTGCCATGTGTACATGTACATGCACACATGCCATGAAAGTGTACCAACCTCATGGGATGGCTACACGTTACCTTATGAGAGTATGACTTTGTGCGAGCACCATATATTCAAGGCTAAAGAATAAAAATCTGCAAACCAATTTTAGGACATATACAAATACTTGCTATCGTTTTATGTAAGAAAAATCCATCCCAGTTATGTGACCTGGCAAATAATTTCCACTAGTGTCTTGGAATCTTAACTCATTTCATTAAGGCCCCTAATAAGCTTTGATTCCACGCTCCAAATTCCTCTTGCCCAGTGCAGTAAGTCTAATGGTGTACTCAGAATTAACCACCTGCTCCTGTGGGGAAGATCCGAACAAACTACATCTGCTCTGTGTCATGCTTAGTTACAAGGTTCTGGGATGGTAGAAAAGAGGCTTACAGATGTTACAGTTTCTTCACTTTGGAGATCAAACTAAAAATATTTGGGAAAAGCCTGGTTGTTTGGGGCACCAGCTGAGACCTGGCTTCTTGCTGTCTTCCCTGTAGGCTATACTTTCGGAGTCAAGTCAAAGGAGAGACAGAGCGAGAGCGGTTACTACTCGCCTCCCAAACCAGTGCAGAAATAGTGGCGGGGCGATTTCCAGTCACCAAGGAACTAGCTCTTGAAATGGCTGCCCTGATGGCCCAGGTAAGGCTTCCTTTTTTTTTTTTTTTTTTTTTTTTTTTTGTCTTTTTTGAGACAGGGTCTCCCTGTAGCCCCAGCTGGCCTAGAACTCACTATGTAGACCAGGCTGGCCTTGAACTCACAGAGATCCACCTGCCTCTGTGCCACCATGCCTAGCCCAGGTAAGGTTTCTTTAAGAGGGTCAAAGCATCATCTTCCAACTCCCTATTGGAAACACCATGAATCCTGAAACAGGAAACTGGAAATCCCATGGCAACCAGATGTGGCTTGACTGTCCTTGGTATGGAGATCAGTCACTCCTCACCCAGCAGAGCTCCTTGCTACTGCAGATAAGGTTGTGTGCAGAGCGGAGGACTGAGAATTGAAGAACTGGGTCTAAGTTCTAACCTTTTCCAACGTGAGGGCTTGGCCAACTCACTTCTCTATGCTTCTGGTTTTTGCTCTGTGCATGGAAAACGCTTCCTCTCATGCCTCCAGGATATGTACTTGAATAATATATGTCCCATAATGTATGCGGTAAAATGTATGATCCATCCAACGTTGTAAGTAGAAAGTTAGAAGCACCATTGAGACCAGTGCTCCTTCCTATTTCCTTTACGAGTCTATCTCATCAGGGTTATCTAGGTTTCATGATTCCTATAAAGAGTGGTTTTAAACCAGATATGATAGCACACACCTGTAATACCAGCTTTTGAAAAGCTGAGACAGAATTGGCACAAGTTCAGGGCAAGTCTGGGTTACATAATGAGTTCTAAGCCAGCCTGGGCTGCACAATAGATCTTCATAATTATAGTCATCAATATGAGTACTCTGTAACAGGTCATATGCTAACATTTCATATGTATTTTCCTATATACTTTTCACCCCCACTTAAGAGGAAATTGAAGCTCAAAGAGTTTAAGTAACTTGAACAAGGACACAGCTGCTAAGTGCAGAGCTGGGGCTTGAGCTAGGTGTCTAACACCAAGCACTCCTCTGTCCTAGGATCTGTAGCCTCTTCCATACTCTGGTATATTTTTGGATTAGAAACCAGAATTTCTATATTGTTTTCCCTTACCTGGCACTAATGTACTAATTTTGGATCAGGCACTTAGCTTCAAAGTGAGAGCTGGCTAGATGACTGCTAATAGTCTAGGACCCTATGAATGGTTCTGTAGTGTCTATGGATCATGAGATAAAGGGTCTGTTCACAGGTACTTTTTCTATCACCCTTACACCCACCAGTAATGCAGTAATGATTTACTTCACCTGACACCCAGCAGCTCCATCTACCTCCAGACCCATGACTGTTACCCGTTTCTACTTCAGGTAGAATATGGGGACTTGGAGAAGCCTATCCTGCCAGGCCCTGGGGGCATACCCCCTGCCAAAGCTCAGCATCTCCTCCAGCAGGTCCTAGACAAGTTCTACCCAAGGCGCTATAAAAATGGAGCACCTCCTGAACAGCTGAGGTAGGTAGAAGGCAAGGTCTTGCAGGGAGTCACTCTGGGGATACCTCGGAGCTATGATGAACACGGCTTGGCACTTCACTGGCACTGTTTCTTTCCATCCACCCGAACCAGGCACCTGGCAGATACGCTAGCCACCAAATGGGCAGCATTGCAAGGCTGCTCCCCTTCAGAGTGCATCCGCATCTACCTGACTGTGGCTCGGAAATGGCCACTCTTTGGTGCTAAGCTCTTTGCTGCTCAGGTGAGTGACAATGGAAAGAGTGCTCTGACCTGGAGCCCCCTCCATTCTAATCTTGACTCAGTCAGTCCAGTCTGAAGCCCCCACCTCCACACTTCCAAACACTAGGGTTGCCATCTCTCCACCCATTCCCATCTACTCCAGAGTTCCAGGGTCCAGAGTAAAGTTTTGCTTCATTGCTTATCTTGTTTCCTCTATTGACTGGTCAGTGTTTCTCCTGAAAGATAAGCTCAACTAATTCACACATGAGGATTCAGATTTAAAAGTCTGAAGGACAGAACAATGTATAACTTAAATTCATCTCTAGTGACCACCCAAAAGCCTGGTGGGAGAGAAAGATGGACCACCCAGGGGAATCAGACTACTCAGACAACAGTTAATTTCACCTCTGCATGAAGACCAGGAGGCAAATAGTAATTTCAGTTGGAACTTTTCCTCAGTAGGTGTCTGGTATGTATGAACTTTACAGATAATCACAGACATTATCCTGTGACCAGACATTATAATCAGACATTAAGCTGAATCTGGGTCTTGTTCACTGAAGCTGAAGGTCAGAAAACGGACATTTACTCATTCATTTAGCAAGTACTTGTTGAGCTCATACTATTTCTGGTGCTGGTTGTTTAAAGTGACAAGAAATTAACAAATCAGTCCTTGCCTTCAGGGAATTTTGCAACTCATGGGGGACAGCAGTGGTGGAGATGCACATTCATCCAAAAATAGGAGTGCTCCTCACACTCAGTTTTCCTCTCTTCTTAATCTTCCTTTTTTTTCTTTCCTACTTGAGACAGGGTCTCTCTGTAGTCCCAGCTGGCCTCGATCTCACAGAGGTATACTTACCTCTGACTCCCAAATGCTGGAATTAAAGGTGTGCCACCAAGCCCTGCTCACAGTCTTTATTATCAATATTTGTTCACTAATCTATTTAATTTTTGGAGTGTGCTAGGGATCAAATCAGGACCTTGCAGTATCTCCAGGCCCAGAATATGTATGTGTGTTGGGGGGGGGGTAACATGTACATATTTGTGCATATATCTATTTTTAGTGGTCACACATGCTATGAAGGAAGAGGAAAGATACTAGAAGGCCACTGGCCTGGCAGGTTGGGAAAAGCTTCCAAAAATGTAACCTGTCTCTCTTTCCCCTGAGGCTTTTGGGTAGGAGAGAGAAAGATCTTCTGGACCACCTTACTGTAAGCCCTGACAGTGAAAAATCCAGGAAATGTCCACCATATAGTCACACACTCACTAGAAGGGCCAAAGCCTATCTGATTGTATTTCCCTTCCTATTTCTTTTATCATCCCTGGGAAATTCATTAAAGGCAAGATGCACTTTGGCTGTGAGAGACTAGGCTGTGGAATAGTTTCTAAGAGCCAGGAGAAAATAACCTGTTCCCTAGTAGGCTAACCTGCTTTGTTTTGTGTTTTGTTTTTGACATAGGGTTTCATGTAGCCCAGGCAGCCCACAAAACCACTATGTAGCCAACAATGACTTTGAACTACTAGATCCTTCTGCCCCTACCTCCCAAGTGCTAAGATTATAGATGTAAGCCACCACACCCAGTTTATGCAGTGCTGGTGATAGAACCATGGGTTTTGTGCATTCTAAACAAGCATTCTACCAACTGAGGAGTTCAATTCCAACCTATAGGCCAACCTGCATCTGCAGCTTAGAGCTTTCCATCCAGTGTTCTGGCGAGATGTGCTCCTCTCCACCCTGGGGATGGTTAGTAGGTGGCAGAGCCCCAAGGCCAAATGCCTCCAACGATAAGCAGTCTTACTGTTCATTCCATATACTGCACAAATGCTATTTTCTGTATTTTCCATGACGAGGTGGCTGAAAATCAGTGCCCATCAGACCCCCTGGATATCCCTTCATCCTCAGAAAGTACTTATAGTTCAGTTAACTATCTGGTGGGTTTTTTTTTCTGTTTCTGCAGCCTGCCCAGCTGTCTTCTAAGAACACTCTGGTGTGGATTGCTGTGAATGAGGATGGTGTCAGCATCCTGGACCACCACACTATGGTATAAAAGGAAGAAGGCTCATTTGAATGCCTCTTCCTCCTAAATACCGTTTTATCTTCTCTGCTCTGATCTCAACAGCCCAAGCAGTGACCAGAGTCCCTTATTTCCATCTTCTGCCTAAGCAGTGCTGTCCTCTAGACACAACTTACAGACATTTAAGATTTAGATTTCCAAATGATGGGATCACCTTGGGGTTTTCTCCTCCTGGTTAGGGCTCCCTGTGCCTAGAAGAGTCAGGTGGGACGTTTCCCCTGAACTCACTGGCTCTTTTCCACAGCAAGTGCACATCACTTATCCCTACTCTTCAGTGACAACCTTTGGTGGCTGCAGAGATGACTTCATGCTTGTGATTAGATCCATTCCAGACCAAGGCTCAGGAAAAGGCCACATTGACAAGTTGATTTTCCGGATGCCTGCTCCCAAGGTAGGTCTGATAGCTATTCCATTTTACCCTGGACTAGTGTGGTGTGGTAAGGTTGGAGCTCAGAGGAACCTCTAGATAGGCACTGCCCCAAATAAAATCTTTGGCCTTGGTGTGAAATCAGTATCCCAACGGATTCAAGGAGAGCAGCATGGCCACATCACTGCTGAGCAGGTACATGGTGGGAACTAACTTGATCTAGCAGGAGGGTAGTGTGCATCTTACAAGACTTCCAGGCCTACAGAAGTCTTATTTCACGGAGACCCTGAACCTCACAGTAGCCTCCTTTGGGCATTTCCTCATGGGTGGGTAGTTTAAGGGAAAAAGAAGCTAAAGTCCAGGAAGGTTATGTACTCAAGAAAACAGCTAGTGATAAAGCCAGCATTAAAAACAAGACTAGTTCAAGTCCTTCACTTCTCTGACCTTAGATTGCAGAAACTACCTTCATCATGGCTAGCTACATGAACCACTGCTCTGCACCTGTGAACCTATCCACCAAACTGCCTGCAGCCCGCCAGCCCTGGGAACTGGATGGACAACAGTTCTTTGCATCTGTTTCTTGTACTTCTAAGGGGCCAGCATCACTATGAACATTTTTCTCCCCATTCCCATAGCACCACTGGTGCCTCTGGGATCACTACTGGAGTAGTTCTGGGGTATACTACTACTGTGATGGGTCGGCAGCCCCTCTGCCTCAACTACTCTATGAAATGTGCATTTCAGGGTCTTTGTAGCCTTTTTGCTCTCTAGGTGCCTTACATTTCAAGGCCCAACATTTTAGAATCCAGACTCAGTGTAAAAACCACTTACTATTTCTTTCACAAGAATACTGACTCTGGATGCTACCTGATTCTAGACTGAGACAGGGATGGCCCTGTTACCAAGGACAGTGGTACTGTATCTGGAGCTTCTCAGAGAAGCTCATATTTTTATGTTGTATGTGATCCTTATGTGGGTTTTATACTTGAAGTTTTCTAAACATCCCTGAACAGAATAGAACTAAAATATCTAATTCACCTAAACTCTGACAAACACTCAAACTGGACCTCCTTTCTCATACAGAAAAGTACTGGCAGGGCTAGAGAAAACGGTGAACTTTCCTCCTCTACTGGTGAGGAGGCAACTGCAATGCCCCTATTGGTGCAGTAGCTCCAATCTTTGCAGGAGAGCACACTTCCCCTGCTAAGATTCAAGCTTTTTCTTTAACACTGGACTAGCACAGGCAGGGATAGCTCTACCTGATCCCTCCCTGTGCCATTTTAACACCCAGACAGGGCTAAGTGAAAGCTGTGCTCACTACTGAAGGATGAGGTGGCCATCATCCCCCACTCTGAAAGAATAAGCAAATGCTTTGCTGCTCTGTGAGGCCACTGAACACAAAAGACCCCTCCAGTTCCTCTAAGGCCTGGGTGTGCTCATCAAGACGTCTGGTAAATTTCTTCCAGGAGTTAGTTGGGGGAAAAGGGCATGTGTTTATCTGCCCTGGCATCAGCTGAAAGATATAGAAAGGTTTTTTTTTTTTTTTACCTCTGCCTTCCTAAGAGCATTACAATCCCTCTCAATCCAGACCTTCTAATTGACTGTGCTGAAGATGGTCTTTGTCTCCACCCTTCCCCACACAAAAATAATAGTAAACAAGAGTTCATACTTAGTTTTCCAACATATGATGACCTGAGTTTTATTGCAGAGCTCTAAGGCAGTCTGATCCATTTGTCAATAACATAAACTAGGGGACAGCAGAAGCAGCCAACCTTTAACCCCAACAACGTGTGTGTATTGCACACTGCAAAACACTGCAAGGCTAGAACTAGTTTATCACAAGACTTCAGCTGCTTTCTTATCCTTTGAACTGACATAAATTAAAAGGCAGAAGAGTCTGTGCCTTAAATGAACTTGACTTTACAAGGCAGAGTTTTACAGCCATTTCTGTTCCAACCCTACCCCCATCCCAGAATTTGGGGTTCTAGTGGAGTCATGTCTACCTCACATCACAAGAACTACAGGCTCTTGGACAGCCCTGCCAATGCTGGTGTAAAAAACAGACTGCAGCTCTGGTTTTCCATCCCAAGTGGTTCTTAAGGCCAACAAGGATATTATCTACTTTGGGTGTTGGTTTTTGTTTTTTAAATAGGATTCCAAAGAATGGACCTGTGTTTTTATTAAATTTGGAGGTCACATTATCTCTCCCACTTTTCTTCTTCCTGATCTTTTGGAATCTTAAATTTTACACAGAAGAAACTGCCTTAGAAACAAAGGCTTCTATAAGTTGGCCTGATTATGCTTTAAATATGACAGTCCCATATCTGGGAACCAAAGTAAAATTTCCCATTTTTCACCCCCGCCCTCTTGGCAAAAACAGCTTTTGAAACAGTAGAAAATACCAAGTAACAAAGTATTAATGTACTTGACACCCATGACTGAAATGCCATGATGTTTATCAATAAAAAGCTATCTGCAAACCAGGCAATTACTATGTGTTTTGGACTGTTTATTCATTTACTGGGGAAAGGGTTGGATTTTTGTCTTAGTTTTTTTGTTTTGTTTTTGAGACAATGTCTCACTATGTAGCCCAGGCAGGCCCACAACTGTCAGTCCTGCTGCCACCTCCTGAGTCCTGGGGTACCACCTCCTGAGTCCTGGGGTTATGACATGCACCACTCCCCGCTGTGTTGTGGATTATTAAGAGTCATCATCATGTACAGAATATAGGAGATAGGGAAAGAGAGATGAGTTCTTTGTAGGATATTTATTCCTGCTAACTCGTACATAGAACAATCCATACAAAAAACTTGACTTATGTTTCCTTAACTTTTAAACAAAAGTCTCTGAAGATACAAATTATATTTTTCTTGTGAAATCTTATCAGTTTCTCAATGTCTTGGCTCCACAAATTTCAACAAAATAAGCTCAGGAAGTCCACAAAGTACTCTTTGTCAACATTACATCTGCTGCATCATGTCAAAATTCTTCAGGTCTCCTTTGGCTAGTAACGTAGGCAACCCCTATGAGGAGACGCTATAATACATGAAACACTGAGTCAAATTCCAGCCACCTACTCTGTGGCTCTGAGATCTACTGCATCCATTCTGGTTCCTAGGACGGTGTCCACTGATGGATTACAGTACAGAAGATAAACTGTGGCTTAGGAGTCATCTCCCATGAAAACAATACTGGGTTTTGAATGCTGAGACTCATGGGCTTGCTGATGTTGCTTTCTGGCGCGCCAGAATTTCCTGGCAGCTTCTGTACACTTCAATCAAGCAGTCCAACCGGGGCTTGGTGCTCTGAATTCCAAAAGGGAGAAATGTAGAGTCAAGGAGAATATAAAATGAATCCACCTGCAACCCCAATGTCTCATGTACACTGAGGGGTCTAAATGACAAGGTTTCACTGAGATGCAGGAAGCTCAACTCTCGGAGTACCTTGCTGGGAGGACTCCAGATCCGGCATAGCTACCTGTGCACTGTGTGATAGTAAAAGGAAGCATTACAAAGGGGCTGGAGAGATGGCTCAGCAGTTAAAAGCACTGCTTGCTCTTGCAGAGGACCTGGGTTCGAGCCCCAGCACCCACATGGTGGCTAACAACTGTCCATAACTCTAGTTCCAGGGGAATCTAACACCCTCTTCTGATGACCTTGGGCATTCATGACACAGGTGCACTTACATACATGCAGGCAACACACTCATACATAAAATAATAAATTAGTTTTTTGGAGGGAGGCGGTCTTTTTGAGACGGTCTCCCTGTAGCCCCAGCCGTCCTGGAACTCACTATGTAGACCAGGCTGGCCTTGAACTCACAGAGATATGCCTGGGATCCGTGCTGGGATTAAAGGCATGTACCACCACACCTGGCTATAAAATTAGTTTTAAAAATAATAAAATATTAAAAAGCAGTATAAGTTGTGAAATAAACCCCAGAGACAAAATGGGCAGTTTACTATGTACATTTTGAAAAATATTTTGTATTATAAAATGTAACAATGAAAATTAAAAGAGAAGCCATAGAATAGGAAAACTGTACATAGAAAAATTAAGTTTAAAGTAACTTTTAATTTTAATACAAATGTATAATTGATTTCTAGATCCTATTTAATAGAGGAGACAGTTTAAAACAAGAGTAAACATTACTATTTATACTTATAAGAAAACAATGCAATCTATACCTGTCATTTAAAGAACTATGCCTTGTTGGGCGTGGTGGCACATGCCTTTAATCCCAGCAGAGGCAGAGGCAGGCAGATCTCTGTGAGTTCAAGGCCAGCCTGATTTACATAGTGATTTCCAGGACAGCTGGGGCTACAGGGAGACTCTGTCTCAAAAAGACTAGAAAAAAAAAAAGAGAATACTTGACCTACATAACAAACTACACTATTGGTCAAGATTACAGAAAAGCATAAATTCCAAAGAATATGGTAAAACCGTTCAGTCTCTGGAACTTAGTCTCAAACATAAGAAAACTGTCTATAAAACTTTAAACTTTTAAAAAATATATTATTTTTTTAATTCATTTTTTATGATATGAGTGTACTGCCTGCATGTGTTTAAGTGCACCTACGTCGTGCAGTGCCCCCAGAGGCCAGAAGAAGGCATCAGATCTCCTGGAACTGGAGATGGTTATTAGCGACCTTTGGGTACTAGAAATCAAACCCAGGTCCTCTGCAAGAGCAGTCAGTGCTCTTAACCACTGAACTCTCCTATCCCAAAACTTTAAACTTTTTAAAAGTTTATGTCTCTGAGTGTTTTGCCTACATGTCTGCAAGTATACCACATGCATGCAATGCCTGCTGAGGCCAGAAGAGGGTGTTGGATCCCCTGGAACTTTTATGGACAATTGTTAGCTGCCACATGTGTGCTGGGAACCGAATCCAGGTCCTCTGCAAGAGTAGCCAATGCTCTTAATTTAAAAAAAAAAAAAAAAAGGCTGGGTGTGGTGGCAAAAGCCTTTAGTCCCAGGACTTGGGAGGCAGAGGCAGGCAGATCTTTGTGAGTTTAAGGCCAGGCTGGTTGGTCTACATAGTTCATTCCAGGCCCGCTGGGGCTGCAGGGAGACTGTCTCAAAAAGACAAAATAAATAAAACCACTTACATACATGCAAGCAAAATACACATATAAAAAATAAAATTTTATTTTTAATTATGTGTATGTATGTGCATGTGTGAGTGCAGGCGTCCAGAATAGGTTGTTGGATCCCTAGGACTTGGACCTACAGGCAGTTTAAGCCACCCATTGTGGGTGCTGGGAACCAAACTTGGGTCCTCTGTAAGAGCAGTATGCACTCTTAACCAAAGCAATCTCTCTAGTCCCTTGTTTTGGTTTTCTGAGCCAGGGTCTCACTATATATAGGCCAGACTGATCTTGAACTTGTGGCAGTCTTCCCCCAGCCTTCCAAGTGCTGGGAGTATGGACATATGCCACCATGTCCACGGTAAGTGATTTTTCTTGTTAAGAGCAAAACAAAAAATAACCTAGATATGACTGGAAAACCTAAGAACAGAGTAACTAAATAAGCTGATAACTCATGCATGAATCCTTAATAGTTTTAAAAGTCTGCCTCAGAGAGGAGCTTCTGAAATGAAAAAACTCATTTTACTAATTGGTTATCAGGTGTCTCCACTACTCTGACAACAGAAGTTTGCATTCCTATTGTACAAAAGAGGCAAGAGATGAACAGAAGAGGGAAAAGTAGTGTGCTACCCTGAGAAAGGAAAAAGCATCTTGTGCTCACCTGGAAGACAGGGACTACTTGGGATATCTCATGTGGCTTCACTGGATCCTTCAATAAAATGCAGAGGTAGTAAATCACCTTCTGCTGTAAGAAAATACACCAAAGGTTTAAGTGAAATTCATTTGGTTTCTTTTTTCTTCAAGAGAAGGCTGAAATCTTCATAAATTGTCATCTCTAAGTAGTAGACTAGTAGAATGCTTGACCACTTCTGAAATGTAAGCACACGCCTTCAATCCCAGCACTTGGGAGGCAGAGGCTGGCAGATCTCTGGGAGTTCAAGGCCAGTCTGGTCTACGTAGTGAGTGCCAGGATAGCTGGGGCTATAAGGAAACCCTGTCTAAAAAGCAAAACAAGTACATTAATATGAACCTGCAGTCTCAGCAACTCAGGCAGGTTGAGGCAGGTAGCTACTTAAGACTCAGTATTAGACTAGCCTGGGCAACACAGTGAGACCTTATCCCTAAAGAAAGAGAAAGCAAAAAAAAAAAAAAAAGCAAAAAACAGGTGTACCTGGCATGGTAACACATGGGAAGGCAGAGGCAGGCGGATCTCTGAGTTCAAGGTCAGCCTGGTCTACATAGTGAGATTGTCTCAACAAAAAAACAAAACAGGCCTTTAATCCCAGCACTTGGGAGGCAAAAGTGGGTGGATCTCTGTGACTTTGTGGCCAGCCTGATCTACATAGCGAGTTCTAGGCCAGCTGGGACTACAAGGAGACCCTGCCTCAAAAAAAAAAAAAGACCAAAAAAAAATTTTTTTTTGAACTGTTTTTGAACCTGAGCTAAAAGGTAAAGTTGAAATGCTGACTCCTTATCCATAAAAACCTGCTAGGTCTATAAAAATAGTTTTGTACTGCCTACCAGCAATCACCTGCATATGCAACCCAACAGTCCACTAAAGTCATAACAGAACTACAACCTTCCTGCTGCCTGCTGGCATCATAATTTCCTAATGCAACATATTGCTTGCCTGTTTGTGGTAATGTTAGTAGAGACAAACCTAATGTGCTGCCATTATATAAAAGTACAGCATATAGGGCTGGAGAGATGGCTCAGCAGTTAAGAACACTGGCTGTTCTTGCAGAAAACCTGGGTTCAAATCCCAGCACCCACATGGCAGCTAACAACTGTCTGTAACTCCAGTTCCAGGGGCTCCAACAGCCTCTTCTGTCCTCTGCGGGCATTGCACGACATGGGTGCACTTACCTACATGCAGGCAATACATGTGTACACATAAAATAAAAATAATAAATAAAACATTTTTTTAAAAAGTACAGCATATAAGCCTGGTGTCATGGCACACACCTTTAACCCCAGCACTTGGGAGACAGAGGCAGGCAGATCTTTGAGTTTGAAGCCAACCTGGCCTATAGATATGGCAAGTTCCAGGCCAGCCAGGGCCACATAGTGAAATCCTGTCTCAAAAAAACAGTATAGCATATAAAATTATGTACAGGACTTAACACTTTATAATAAATAACTGTTACTAGTTTATGTCTTTTTTTTTACAGTTTTTACAAATATTTTTTATTTTTAATGAAGCTGGTAGAGACAATGTCCATTGAAAACTCATGTCCCAGGCCAAAAAATACAAATAAAATCAAAAGGAGCAGTGGTCTGCTGCATACATTTCTGCATGAATAACTATTAACTGCTAATGAAAATTAGAACTTTTCTGGGATCTTCTGACAGATTTTTTTTAAATCTTAAAATGCTTTATCTTCAATGAAGCCATTTTGGAGTTAGTCTTTACTTGCCATATCTGTCATCTTGATTCTAAATCTGATCTTCTTTTGGTCCAGACCCTCAGATTTTTAAAAGTAGCTTCAAGATGAAGGAAGATCATTTTTCCACAGTTCAGTTTTCTGAAAAACTTCCATCTCCCACTGAAAATCACAGTCCAGGAGTGAAGCAGTCACCTGCTAGAATTTCAGGGCCAACTGGAAGGTCATTATGAAAACTCGCTCTGGTCGATCTTCTTAATCACTACAAACCTGAAAATGCACAGTCCTGAAAAAGATGGCCTCTCTGTGCACACATGAAATTTTCAAAAAGAGGGCAATATGAAGGGAGCTGAGGTCGGATCACCGGAAATCAGCACAATAAAAACAACCAATAATGAATATTGAACTAGAATTCAAATTACCAGATGTTTAAAGAGATGGAGTGCCAGTATTCAATTTTCATTTTGAACACAATACAAAAGAACTATTTTTTAAAAATAAAAAAGGATCGAGGGAAAAGAAATAAAAGAGTATCTAAACTGTTGAATGACCCGTTTGTTTCTGGTAAACTTCAATCATATGTTCTTCCTCCAAGCCCAGTTCTTTTGGAGTCTGATTATCAGCAATTCTCCGACCTTCAAAGAGAAACCCGAGTGAAGTCACTGGAACTCCCTGTCTTTGACAGTGTGATTCTTTGAGCTTCTTGACATGTGTTGTCATTTTCACTTTGAAGTGTATCTCACTGCTGTCCTGCCCAATGACTTTGAGTTTTATGTATTCACTTTCCTTCTTATCCCCTAAGTCCTCAGTTGAAGGTTTTGCCTCCTGGTCAGACATGGTGACACTGGCTTCACCCCGGGTCTCTGCAATACCATGGGCCTCGGGGAGGCAGAACCTCGCTCTGGGGTTTACAAATCCGTCTCCCTTCCCCACAGCACAACACCACGGCAGTAGGTACTTCTATGTCTTTACTTTTTATTACAGTATACTTCTTTGGGTTTTTTTGTTGTTGTTTGCGGGGGGCAGGGTCTCCCTGTAGCCTCAGCTGACCTGAAACTCACTATGTAGACCAGGCTGGCCTAGAACTCATGGAGATCCACCTGCCTCTGCCTCCCGAGTGCCGGGACTAAAGGTATGCACCACCACCCCTGGCTAGAGTATACGTCTTATAAAAGTAAAAGTTTGCTAGCTAGGCATGGTGGCACACACCTGTAATGCCAGCACTCAAGAGACAGAGACAGAGCATGGCTACACAATGAGACACCCCCCCACCCCCCAAAAAGAAAAAGCTTACTATAAAGAAGTGTGGTGATTCGAAAGAGAATGTCCCTCGTCTCCAGGTATTTGGGTATTTTTCCCCAGTTGGTGGCATTGTTTGGGAGGTTTTAGGAGGTGTGGCCTTACTGGAGGAAGGTCACTGGGGGCAGGCTTTGAGAGTTCTTAAGCCTTGCTGGATTTCCAGTCTCTCTCTCCTTCCTGTGCCTGCTTAAAGATGTGATTGCTTGGCTTCTGCTCTGGCCACCTCCTGTTGCCATGCCTCCCTGCCATGATGCCCCTCTGGTACTGTAAGCCAAATAAACTCTTCCTTTTATATGTTCCTTCGGTCAGTGTTTTATCACAGCAATAGAAAAATAATAAAAGTACAGAGGGATGTTTGGCAGCAACCTCAAACATCTCATGTTTATTACATATCTTGACAGGGGATGTTTAAGTGACTAACCTATACCATCTAGACTTGTATTAAGTATGTTTTATGATGTCTGCACAACCAGGAAACTGGTTGGTTAACTTCATTTCTTAGAAATGCATCCCCATCGCTAAGGAAAGCATGACTATAAAGAAACTAATCCTTTTCCATATAAGTTTTCCTTTTATGGTTTGCAAACATGTCAGCCAAAAAATACGTAATAGTATTGGAACAGAAGCTCCTTAAGTTTAATTCTGACATTAAATGCTTTAAATATTAAGACTCAGTTTGAGTCCTAGCATACCTCATGGGCTGACTGCATCCTCCAGAGTCCTGAAATACTACTGACCACCTAAACGCTTACCATGTAAATCGCTTCATTAACGATAACATCCTTGACCTTGTCCATCTCTATGAAGGTGGTGCTTTCTTTGCCTGAAGCATAGGATGAAGTCATCTGAATGCCAAGTGAGTCAATGATTAACAGAGTCTCCTGATCAATCTTCACAAAATGGAGGTAACCAAGCAGGCCTAAGATGGTGATGAAGATTGCAGAAGAGAGGATCATGCTGTTCTGAAGAGAGAGCCAGACACAGGCTGTAAAATCATTGTTTTTACACAGGCAGTAAAATCATTAATGGTCCTCTAAGTATATCTATGCTATATGGTAAGTCAACTAGACAGTGAAGAAAAAGGCCTTTGCTCTGTTTTGCTGTGAACAGATGAGGGAACATGCATGAAGAGGAAATCCCTTTATTTGGGTTTCCTAAAGTGTTATGAAAGACACCTTATGAAATGGATCCAAACTACTAATGAACGTGTCTGGGGAGCTTCTAACAAAATATCGACCATCACACTGGTCTTAGAAAATTTTCTTCCAAAATTGCAACTTATGGGCCCAGATTTTTTCCTCTTATACTGTCTCTTCAAAATACATAGCATAAAATCATAGACCTAACAACTCTAAGTGCTCAGCACACCAGCAGATGCTACTCCTTGCCTGATTTTCCTTGATAGAATCTGGAATGACTTATGATTGGTTTAGAAGTGGACATGTGATAGGACTCTAGCCAATGAGATGTAGTGGGAGGTCTGTGCAGGGGGCCAACTTGAAAAAAAAGATAGATGGAAAGGAAGGAGGGAGGAAGAAATACTGAGATTCATGCACTGAGGAATATCCTACAAAGCAAGATTAACTGATGCAGAGAAGATAATGGTTACTGATGGGTGCCTTCCAACAAAGCAGGAGCTGGGCTGAGTACAGTGAGGGAAGATGTGCTCACTTCTGCAGCACATACACTAAAACTGGAACAATACACAGAAGATTAGCATGGCCCCCTGTGCAAGGATGACACACAAATTCATGGTGTTCTATATTTAAAAAAAATAAAAATAAAAAGAGGGATGATGGTGATGATGAGACTCGGAGTCCAGCAGACTCGCATATGAACTCTGGAATCTTCAACCTCACCATTTCTATGTTAATAAAGGCCTTTATCATTTTATTTTTCATTTTTTACTTTTTTGGTCTTTTTGAGACAGGGTCTCTGTGTAGCCCAAGCTGGCCTGGAACTCACTATGTAGACCAGGCCTGCCTCCGTCCCTGAGTGCTGGGATTAAAGGCAGTTACCACTACCATCTGGCTAAGGCCTTTATCATTTCAATCTGTTTTAGGTTACAGCTGTGACTAAATGATATGTTAAGGGGTAGAAAAAAATGGTAGCCAGGCTAGGGATGTAGCTCAGTGGTAAAGCTTTTGTCTATCTAGCATGAACAAGATACTGTTTGATCCCCAATACTACACATGTGGAGGGGGGGCACGACAGTGTGTTGTGTCCCTGAACCTAAGGCACATTTTTAACATTTCTGAAGTTGAAATGTGGTGGTGGGGTTCTGTTTTGTTGTTTCTTTCATGTGATCTCTCATGGCTCTTGCTTTCCCTCAATGTCCCAGAAGGCTGACAAAGGAAGAAAAAATAAAAGTCAGTGACCTAGAATCAATAAAATTCAGTAATTTTGGACCATATTCTTTGAGGCCGAGAAGTGTCTTGCTCTTCATACTTGTCAGTCACCCTCCTTGACCTAACACTAATAAGACACCTTGAAACACTCTAGCCCATGACCTTGGCATCTATTTATATTGGACTTGCATTGCCCAGCTGCACAGGAATCTTGCTAAGTTAAAGAAAGGACTCCCCACCCTCAGTATCAAATCACCATTCCCTTTGAGGGCTTAATACCTCCCCAAGGACTTAATACCTCCTAACAGGCCCAACCTCTTAAGGTTTCCACACTTTTAACACAGGACATTCCAAATCTACACTATAGGATCTGCTTTCTATAAGAATCTCAACAAGTCAGTTCCTTTCAGTAATTTCCTACCCACTGACCCCAAACTCTGCTCCCTGGCTATAAATCCCCGCTGACTTTGCTGTATTTGGAACTGAGGCTAGTTCTATACTGAGGTCTCTTTCTTCCCCTACTGTAGTAGCTCCAGAATAAAATCTATTTTTAACTTTATTGACTGGATCTGGTTTCACAGTACCTAATATCCAGTAAGAGTTTGATCAGAGATATGTCAACTTCAGGCCCATTGTGTTTTGTCTTGCCCACTCTGAGCAAAGCACGATTTTTAAAAATTTTATAAGGTGGTAGGAAGAATGGAAATGAGACAGGACAAAGACACACAAAGACATACAGAGACATATAAAGCTTAAAATATTAATTTGGCCTTCTTAAAAGTTTTATTAGAGGCCGCACGCCTTTGAGCCCAGCACTGGGAGGCAGAGGCAGGTGGATCTCTGAATTCAAGGCCTGCCTAGTCTACATAATGAGTTCCAGGCCAGCTGGGGCTACAGGGAGACCCTGTCTCAAAAAGCCAAAAAAAAAAAGTTTTGTTAGAAAGTTAGAAAATTTATAATAAAATAAAAAGGTAGTTGCCAAGAACTTTATTATCTCATTCAGCATATGAAACAAATCAGTGTCCAGTCACATCCAGTTCCCACCACACTATTGGTCTATGGAACCAAAAAGGAAGCCCAACCCTCACAATCACTGGCCCAAGAGACACTTATTGGACTCAATGTTTCCTGTTACTTCAATATGCAGAAAACTGGATACATCCACCATGAAAAAAAAAAAAGACAATTTGGCCTTTTAAAGGAAGTTTTCTGACTTTTGTGCCAGATAATTATTTTTGGCTAATAAATGGGAGGAGTCAGAGCTTGGTCTCCAATAACCAAAGCACAAACATCTGCTTTACGTTAATTAACTGCCAGGTGCAGGGCAGCATCTTGTAGGTAGTCTGAACTGAATAAGCGTTGTGGAAGACTGGAGTAAAACTCAGTCCTCTGCACAGATTTATTAGAAGATTAATACATGGACAAATTCTAGAATACTGTATTGCTGACTATAAGTGCCAAAGGAAAGGAGGAAAAGAAGAGGGAGGGACGGAGGGAGGGGAGGAAGGAGAGCGGGGGAGGGAGGGAGATTGAGCAAGGCACACAAGAACATTCATGAAGACTTCCAAGGAAGCAGGACTTACTTGGTGCAGAGAAGATAGTGATTATTGATGGATAAACTTGACTAAAATGAAAGGAGAAAACACTGAAGATTGGAATAAATTAGGTAAAAGGCTGTGATTTTAAGGGAATTGTGCATTGAAACCAGGAAGGAATGGCAGAATGAAGAACAGTAAAGGCTTAAGGAATCTCATCCAGTCAGCTTTCTTTTAAGACAGTCTGCCTCACACTCCATTTTTCTGGCTAAAATTCTAACAGCGCATTTCTTTGGGCCAGGGTTAAGCCACATATCTGAATGGAATCTTTGAGAGTTCTCCACATATTCATTAGGTTTTTTTTAAATTAATTTTGAATAGGAGAAAAGAACCAAAATTATGTCACATGGAGCTCTGAGGAAGTGTTGGAGTGGTTTAAAGGAAGATGAGGTCACTACTTCTGCACTTGATGGGGATATCAGGATACACCGTGAAGGACAGAGGTGCAAAGAGTAAGGAACTGTCACAACATGAAACTGGAGACGGGTATGGTGGTACACACCTGGAATTCCAGCTACTAGGGGAGCTGAGGTAGGAGGATGGAGAATTTGAAGCCAGTCTAGGCTATTTAGCAAGACCCTATCTCTGAAAACAAACACACACAACTGCCCGAGATCAGTTATATTAGGGTATAACGGAAAAGGGTTTTGGAGACGGGCAGCTGTGGTTTTGAAGCCTAGATCTGTCACTTTACCACCTTCATGACTATTGGGTGAGTTACTACTTTGTCTGGACCTTTCTTATAAGGTTGAAGTAAGGAGTTCACTAAAACAGCTGGGACTCTGGGCATTTAACAAATATCTGTTTTTCCTCCTCAGATAATTGCACAGATGGCTGGAATTTGGGCTAGTATTAAATTTCAATCATATTATAAATTAAATTAAAGGGAATTTAATCACTTCAACTGATCTATGAAGAAACTTTTAGATATAAATTGGTACAAATTAGGGATTTTTTTTTTTTTTTTGGCCTTTTTGAGACAGGGTCTCCCTGTAGCCCCACCTGTCCTGGAACTCACTATGTAGACCATGATGGCCTTGAACTCACAGAGATCCACCTGCCTCTGCTTCCCAGTGCTCGGATTAAAGGCGTGCGCCACCACGCCTAGCAAATTAGGGATATTTCTAAAAATACTATTATTTACTTATTTATGTAGTGTGCGCGTGTATGTGCTTGCACGTGCAAGTCAGATAACAACTTTTGGAAGTCAGTTCTCTCCACCATGTGGGTTCCAGAGATCCAACTCAAGTCATTAGGCTTGGCAGCAAGCACCACTGAGTCACTAAGCCATCTTGAAGGCCCTAAATTCCAGATCTTAATTCATCTATTTCTATGTAAATTACCATGCTCCACCATATGCTTTGATGGCATAAGTTAAAGGGCTGAGTGTGGTGGCAAAAACCTTTGATCACAGCACTAGGAAGGCAGAGGCAAACTCTACATAGTCTGATCTACACAGTGAGTTCCAGATCAGCCAGTGCTATATATTCAGATCCTATCATTTAAAAAAAAAAAAAAAAGGCTAATGGATATACTAGAAAACAATATGCAAATTACAGACATAAACAGCCCTGGCTACTTACTTAGCTCTGGTCAGATCACTCCTGGAATAACAAAGTTTAAGTGCACTATGTAACTGGAACTCCTTCTGAAAAAGGGCCAGTTGGATGATTCTTTTTACTGGAGAACTGTCACAAACTTAACTGCATTTGACCCTCACAACACTATCTATAAGCAGCCATTAATTCCATCTCAATTATGAAAACAGGCTCAGGAAAATAGGAGAGTATGGAAACTGAGCATGAAACTACTCACGTCTGAAATTTGGCAATTCTTTTAGAAAGTACACTTGAAATTGGGGAAGGGGCTGGGAGATGGAGGTAGTTTAAATGGCCTTGAAAAGCAGAGATTAGAAGAAATACGGCACTATCGGAACACGCACACACTTATGGAGGCAAAGGTAGTTTCTGGAATAATGTATATACGTATGCTTATCATTGGGAGTGATATGAGAAATGACGGAGGAGGAGAATGATGCACTAATTAAACAGTTCGCTGGGGGGGGGGGGAGCTGGAGAGATGGTTAAGAGGTGCTCTTGCAGAGTACCCCGGTTCGGTTCCCAGCACCCACATGGCAGCTAACACCGGTCCCTAACTCCAGTTCCAGGGGATCCGACGCCCTCTTTCTGGTCTCTGCGGGCACTGCTGCGGCCCACTGCAGAATGACCTCCAGAATGACACAAGCCTTGACGAAAAGAACTGTCCTGCAGCGGGACGGCGTCCGGGTTTACCTCGAACAGGGTGAAGAGCCCGTAGGCCACCAGCCACACCGTGCAGGTGACGGCGGTGACCGAGCGCAGAGACAGCCGGGCCGAGCTGAGGCCGAACTCCCGGCAGTACGACGAGTAGTAGCGACGCCGTAGGGTCAGGGGACCACCGCAGATGTCCAAGAAGCTCCGCTCATCCTCCATGGGCCCGACCTCCGGCCGCTCTAGCCCACCTGGGAGGCTCCCCGTCTCGCTGGCTCTGGACCACGCCCGGAAGCGGATTGGCCCCGCCCACCCCACGCTCCGCGCTGCCGCAGTTGCGCACGGAGAGCAGAGCAGGGCTTGGGCTGAATTCTCCCGGTCCGGGTTGGCTTAGGCTCATTCGTTCCAGCAGTAGTGAGCCAACTGCGGATGGATTAAAATCTCTGTTGATGTGTTTTCACACACAACTTCGTTTCTATTGCTAAGCCAGAGTGAGCGCCAAGGAAATGGTCTACGGGTGTATTCATTCATTTATTCGTTCATTCGCTTGAGAAGGAACTTTAGGTTCTGAAGATGCAAGATCTGTCCCCCAAGTAGTTTTTTTTCTGTTATGAAAAACGATAGGGATGTAACTTAAAATAGTCTGGCAATAGTGTTCAGACCTGTGGGGAAGAACTGGGCACTTTAATAAAGGCAATTTAAAAAGTTCTAATCGCTGGATGAGGGACGCACTGGTCTGGGAGATGTGGGGTGGGGGTGGTGGGGGATTTTCCAGAAAGACAGACCAGGGAAAAGCAAAAGCGGAGGCTAGAACAAGGTTTTACCCATCGAAGAAATCAAAAGCTGGGGGGAGAGGGGCACGAGAGTATCTTTGGGGGGCATAGGTAGGTAACCCAGAAAGTTCTTGGCTCTCTGTAAGCAATTTGCAGTTGTATGCCTGTGAAACTTTTTCCCCAAACCACTTGGGACATGGAGCCACACAGGCCTGTCTGAAAGAGGAGGACTGGGAGACAGAAGATGTAAAATTACCCAACCCATGAGTAACAGCAGCTTTTTGGTTCCAGGTGAATGTAACCCCAAAGTGGTTGTGTGGTCTGTTAAAGCAGTTGTGACTTCAGCCTAAGGCTTCACAATCCTAAAGAGATGATCCTTTGGGGGCTGGAGAGATGGTTCAGGGGTTAAGACCACTGGGTGTTTTTGCAGAAGACCCGGGTTCGAATCCCAGCACCCACAAGGCCGCTAACAACTGTTGGTAACTCCAGTCCCAGGGGGTCTGACAGCCTTTTCTGACTGTGGGCATTGCATGACACGGGTGCACTTACCTACATGTAGGCAATACACGCATACACATAAAATAAATAAAT